TCCATCTAGACATACTCTCGATGGCTATATTGTGGCTGCTAGACTAACGTGGTTAATATTTTATCAACATTAGTTTCAAATCTATATCAATGACTAATATATATCAAGAAAGAAATTATGAAAATAGCCTTTCTCCGTCTAAGCCTCCTTTTCCCCCAACAGCCACCCACCGCCCGCCAGCATCCAACGAGAATTCGTACTGCTCATTACATCTTATCACATACATACGACCTTCCCAGACCTACATTTCTCCTGCTCCATCTCATTCTGCGACCCGGGGCTTTGAACCGCAGTCTGTCGCATTGCATACCTCATTATCAACTCCCATATAAGAAATCGCCCATAGTGCGCCGGTCGAGTACCTGCGCAGCAGGGGGAGTTTTCTTGGACATGCCTTGTGTGATATTATAGAAATATTGCTAGGGCATAGTTGAAGGTGTTGTGGCGACGATTTGCCAAGCGCCGGCCGGCACCCGCCGAGCCGCAACACCCCCAGATGTGGGGAAGCGGGGGAAACTTACCGAACAACGTCTCTCCTACATCGAGCTTGGATTCTTCACTCAACATCTGCGTCCATTCTTCACAACAATTTTTCTTCTTTATTCTTTGCTTTCCACCAATTCAATATTGCGCCATTGTTGACAGCCACCCACACTAGAAAGACAAGGAGAAAAGAAGAAAGGAAAAAAAAAATTTACTTTTGCCATGGCGACGGAAAAGGACCCCATCACCTGCCACGTCCTCGACACCACCGCGGGCCGCCCCGCAGCCAACATCACTGTGCGCCTCGAGGGCCCCGAATTCAAAGGATCAACCCTCCCGGCCGAGCACCTCTACACGGCCGTGACCGATGCCGACGGGCGCGTCAAGCGCTGGCAGCTCGCGCCAGGCAGGCCGACGACAACGTCGCTGGCGGAGACGCTCGGGGCTATCCAGGGCCCATCGCAGTGGCGTCTGACGTTTGACACCGAGTCGTACTTTGGCGCGGATAAGACGTTTTTCCCAGAGGCCGTCGTCGTGTTCCGCGTCGAAGAGGGCCAGCACTACCACGTGCCGCTGCTGCTGAGCCCATTTACGTTTACGACGTACCGCGGCAGTTGAATCAAGAGGGGGTCGTTGACGATGCTGGACACGAGAGATGCTGGAAAAGGTGCGCGATGGATAGAATCAATTTGACATTTCTTGACTATCTATAAATAGACAAACGGCTCGGCATCTCACCTTTGGCTGATGCAGCGACAGAAGGCAGCGCTGTCCGTTTCGGCGTACGCTGTGAACCGCCCAGTGAACTTTGTTAATGTGAAACCCAACTCCGGCGCTTAATTAAAGAGAACGATGGTCGAAAGGCAATAGTTCGACCGCAAAGGTCGTGAAGCCGGTCAGGTTGAAGAGTATCCTGTTCCTGATTTGACACTTCAACGTGGCTGCCTCTTCAATGATGCCGATGCAATTTGCCAAAGAGACCCCGTGAGGACCTCGTCGAGGCGTCGTCGGGCGATGTGGGCGGTGTCTCCTCGTCATCGCGTGTGGTTGTCGCGAAACTATCCCTAGCATGCTTGGAGGCTATCGGGCTCGGCGGCGTCTCTATAATGGACGGCTGCGAGCCGCTGTGCTGACGCTGCTGCTGGGCGCCGCCGCCGCCCTCGCGCGTCGGGGCGTGCTGGACGGTGCTGGGCGCGGTGGAGGGCACGAGCGAGACGGCGCTCGGTGTGGCGGCGAGTTGGATTGGGAGGGTGCCGTGGCCGAGCGTCTTCTTGTGCTTTTTGGAGCGGTGCAAAAAGGGGAGGGTGCTTCGCCTCATGACAAGGTCGGCGTGGACGTCATCCTGGCCGATGCAGGCGTTGGGAGACAGGTCGGCGTCGGGGTGAGGGAGAGTCGTGTTGCGCCCTGCATTTCCAGTTAGATGACATTTTCTTTCCTGAATCGCAAAACCACTTATTTCTTTCAATTGATATTTACGTACTGGATGAAAAAGGCTCTGGGAAGCCAGTGTCTCGTGGCTGGCGAATCGTGTGAACAGAGCTGGGACCAGACATGGCTGCCGATGTAATGTTGGAGACGAAATACTATTTGCGATAGACTGGGCTGTTGGCCACTTGAATTCAGATTCCACCGACTGGTTTTGGCTTTATTTCGACACGCCAGCCGTAGTGGCACGAAATGGTGCGGTAATGGCTCTCGCGCGGTGGTGGTGTAGGTTCAGCCTAGGTAGGTGTCATGTAGTCAAAGACAAGAGTGGCTGGCGATGGCAAGCCACGCTTCGGGAATCAATAAAATAGGCGCCTTGCGTATGCTGAAAAGTTACCGCCGACAAAACAAAAGTCAACGGAAAAGCAAAAAGTAGAGCCCAGTGTCACACAATGTTTCTTTGGTCACAACAGAAGCGCGCTCTTACAATGAATCAGGAGTGGCACGGGCGTAAACGGGGTTCCTAGGAGAAGGGAGAGGGGAAAAGGCCCAGGTCTTTTTTTGTTTAGGATGATTGATTTTTGAAAGGTGTTGTGCGTCGGATGCAGCTCGGAAAGAGAGGCAAAGAAAGGGGGGTGTTGCTTTCGCAAGTTCTTTTTGGGCGTAAATTGTTGAGGAGGCGGCTTTGGTTTGCTCCGGCCTCAAGCGAGATGACGAGGCAGGCTGAGTCGAATCTGGGCCACAGTGGGTGTTTTGTGGCGGATGTAGGCTGACGCTGATAGCAAACAAGGTGTACTGGTAAGGGGAGAGAAGAATATTTGCAAATCAAGACAAGAAAGAAATTGCTTCTCTAATAAAAATTGAGAACGGGGGCATCGCCGTGGTCAAATACGTGGTGCGATTTCCCGGGGTAAACTACCTGTAATAACAGGTACCAGTATCAGTACAACCACTGTGGCGGGTCTTTTGGGGGAAAACGTCATAATCTCTGGGATGCCACGAAATCCTGGCGCTTGTCCACTGTATTGAACGCACTGTATGATTGCATCTGCATGAAACTAGGCCGACCAAGGCCAAACGGGTGGGAAACATGCAATCTTGGCAAAGCATGGATGGGCAAGGGGGGGGGCCCTTGACGAGCTGGCCACTGTTGACGATGGCAATCTGGGTAAGACAAGGGGGTCTTTCGTGATTATTCAGTGCAGCGTTAACAAAAAGCACATCCTTGGTGGCCCGGACCGAACCAGGCGTCGGCGATTCGGATTTCGGCCGACATCTCGTGGACAGGAAACTCGACACTGACATGCTTGTAGATGGTCGATGGCTGGGCAGCGTTGTTGCATTTTGCGAGACCGACCGACCAACTAGACCTGAGACCAGCCAATTACTGGCTAACGGGAGCCAAATTATTCTCCATTCTTCTTCGCACATCTTGATGCGAAATCGGCAAACTTTAGCCAGTAATTACGCCCTTGGCCCTTTCCTCCACCCTTCCTTCCACCTTGGTGCCTTTCCCCAGCGTGCCCAGCAACTACACCCCACTGTAGCAAGGCGCCGAGACCCGCCGCCCGCCAAGGATTTCACGGAAACACGGCAACTCATTTCCAGTCTTTTCCAGCGCCACAGCAGTGTTTCCTTTTGCCTTCTTCAGCAGACTATTACCGCAAGGTACACAAGCTGACAAGTCCGCCGCCGCAGCTGTACGGATTACAATCAACGAGAATATCCATACCTATTCAGGCGGACATCGGAATTCGGCCAAAGCCTTTTGCGCAGACGCGAGCCAGACTCAAAATCACATCCATCCTCTTATTCAACAGAGTACAGAATACAGAACGCGACAAATGATGGGGGTTCTGCAACTGTCGACATGATGCAAGTGCTGCGCCTCGCTGCGGGCCATTGCAGCGACGACCAGCTGGACAAGGGGCTACTACCTACGGGCGATTAATAAAGCGTAAATTGGCTCAAATGCACTAGGTACCTAGGTACCTTAGCCTGCTGGCACAACTGCCAACCGCCAACTTCCAACTGCCAAGCCCCTTCGTGACACTTGGTCATCAGCGCATATGACGTGGGCCTGGCCAAGGCGTCTGAGGTTAATAAGGGGGAAAAAAAGAGGCAAGAAAACACACAAAAGACCCGAGTTCGACCTCTTTCTTGGTATGCTGTGCTGACCCATCAGTTTGTTGCGCGACGATACTCATGCATTCCACGTTGCCATGCTAAGCCAAATAAAGAGCGCCAGCGCCCCCATCAGTAGCAAAAGTCGAGCCGGTTATGTACTCGGAAACAAAACATCAAGAATTCTAGCCGTCATATCCGTCAATCTTGCCTTTTCTTCTTCAATGTCATTGTATAAGCCATGCTCTTGCAAATACGACTTATACCGGTCTGATCTTCTCAGTTGCTTCTCGGCTTGCGCTGCCAGCGCTGCATTCTTGTCGCCAGAGAAGAAAAGGGTTACAATCTCTTCCCGCGAGCCCGTATACATCCTAGGGAATACAAAGTCGAAAAATAAACGCTCGAGTTTGGTCGGGTGACAGAATATTTGCGCCGTTGCAAGCGTGACGGGTTGCCCGATTCGCTTCCAATGACTCTTCAACTCTTCATGCTTGCTGAGTCGCAGGGCCGTTTGAAAGCCCGACACAATCTCCTTGGGCGGTCTTAGGCATCCACGCCCGTCATGACCAGTCGTCCACGCCGGCGGCGTAAACAGGTGCTGCGGTACTGTTCCTGCAAACTCCCAATCGATAATGCCCTGGATTCTGAGGTTCTCGTCAACAATAATGTTGGCATAGTGCAAGTCGGGATGTGAGAGGATGAATGAGGCGTCTTCGTGTGGCCGCAAGTCCCCCAGGCTTCGGCGAGCTTCAAGCTCCAGGTGGTCAAGTGCAAAGACTTGATCTCTCACGTCGTTGAGCGTACCGTCAATCAAAGGCAAGCGAGCTGATTTAGACACGATGCCAAGTTGGTATTGTACATAGCTCTCGGCCGAGTGCAGAATCCTTGGCCCCGGAGTACTCCTACGTGTTGACACTACAAGCTCATTCTCTGCCATGCTGAGCAGTCCATCAACACGAGGGCCGTCATGTTTATCGGAGCTCGGCATAAGCGATCCGGCGACGGAGAATCGAAGCTGAAAAATTTGGGAATAGATGCTGATGAGGTCCGAGAAGAGCTTCAGGCGTTGCTCTGGCTTGGCCTGGAGAACGTGTTTCATCGTCAAGGAGTGGCCTGGGATATAGTCACAGAGCAAGTATGGCTGCGAGACCAAGGGATCTGAAGTAACTCGCGCATTCTTTCCATAAGCCCAGACTTTTGGCACCGATATGGAAGTATGCATTCGTATATACCTGCCAAATTAGACATGCCTTCAAAGTCAGGTAGCCGCTGTCGACTTACTCAAGCGTGGCTGCTTCGCTTTGTACTTTTGTCCAACAATCGCGTACAGCTGGCCGAAGCGGCAGACGAAGCAATCTCTTGGGAATATTGCCGTCAAAGTCCAAACAGATGGATATGTTATAGCTCCCGCGGTCTATGCTGGAAACTTGGCATTGCAGGCCGCCGCTGTGGGAGGATACCAGCTGACAGACAGCATCCTTGTCAATAGAGTCAACTATAACGTCGCAGAGCTTTTCTATCTGCGCACGGGTGATGGGAAAGTTCTCTGGTTTCATGGTACGCTGCAGTTGCTGGCAAAGATGCTGGAGGCAGAGTGGAGGCCTTATTACTGCTGAGTGGTGACCAGCTTGGGCCACCAGAGGAGATGCAGGTTGCCTGGTCATTTATTTCATGGTAAAATTCAGCATCCTTTAATAAAACAACGAGTACAATATAATACACATGGTGGGAATAGAACTTCAAGAAGATATTTGTTTTGCATATTATTGCTTATATCATCTTGTTTACAGTATTATACATAGCCTACGGATTATTATGGATTAGCCCGAGTTGCACCGCCACCACCGCCACAGGCTGTTTGCTCTACCCAGCGCCTGCCACGCCACGCCTCGCCAGCTCAGCCCCTTGGAACACGACTTCTTGACAACGGGCTGGCCTTGAAGTCTTTCTCGCAACCGCAGCCTTCCAAATTTCATTCCGTCCCGAATCACAGTTTTCCGGCTTGAACATATACTCGTCATTTTGCTCGCCCGTCGAATCGCCCGACATGTCTGACACTGCCCGCGACGTCGGTCATACCGACTCCCGGGACTCTCACGACTCGAACCCTCCAAACGGTTCGGAGAAGAAAAAGAGCCGCCGCCCAGCAAGTCAGTCGCTCGCCCGCGCCCTCATCATCCCGATGTGTTGTACCAAGAGCGATTATCCAACAGGAGGCTGACATTGCGTCTACTACAGATACCGCGTTCCGCCAACAGCGCCTAAAAGCATGGCAGTATGTTGCATCCACAACGTTGCTTGGCCTGCGCCGCATCAGGCGCGACGCCCGCCATGCAACGTGGACGTTGCCCGCTAACATGAGACTGGCAGACCGATCCTGACGCCAAAGACGGTCATTCCGATTTATTTCGCCATTGGCATCATCTTTGCTCCCATCGGGGGGCTCCTTCTTTACGCCAACTCTCAAGTACGGATGCGCCGGAGCGTTGTTTTGCGCTGGCTCGTTGCTAATACACGGGACAGGTACAAGAAATTAGGATCGACTACACAAAGTGCATCGCGGATGCCACCGACACATTCAGCGATATGCCCTCCAAAAACATTGATATGGCCTTCAAAAACGGTAGCCTCAACGACGTCCATCCACAGTGGAAAAAGGAAACTGGCGTCAAGGTCAACATCAGCACGGCCGTCACCGTCGACACCGACATCTGCCACCTGCGCTTCAGCATCCCCGACGACATGAAGCCACCCGTGCTATTCTACTACGCCCTCACAAACTTTTATCAGAACCACCGCCGCTACGTCGACTCGTTTGACGCCGAGCAGCTCAATGGCGCCGCACGTTCCTATTCGGATATTGACGGATCCAAGTGCACGCCGCTCAAAGTCAACTCGACGGTGAACAAGCCCATCTTCCCTTGCGGCTTGATTGCCAACTCCATGTTCAACGATACCTTCTCGAGCCCCAGGCTGATGAACCCGCCCGGCTCCAACGCGCCCCGCGACTACACCATGAACAACAGCACCAACATCGCTTGGGCCAGCGACAAGGACCTCTACTCCAAGACAAAGTACAACTTCACGGAAATCGTGCCCCCGCCCAACTGGCACGCCCGGTACCCGGACGGCTACACGGAGGAGAACCCGCCCCCGGATCTCAAGAACTGGGAGGCGTTCCAAGTCTGGATGCGCACAGCCGCACTGCCCGACTTCAGCAAGCTGTACCAGCGCAACGACGACAACATCATGGAGAAGGGGACGTATGAGATTGCCATCAACGACTGTAAGATACAACCGATACCCCAAATTGTGCTCTTTTTTCTTTCCCGGGCCATTACCCGCTAACACTATACAGACTTCAGGGTGAGCGAGTTTGGCGGCACAAAGTCGGTCCTCATCACCACCCGCAGCATCATGGGCGGCCGCAACCCTTTCCTCGGCATCGCCTACATCGTCGTCGGCGGCGTCTGCATCATCCTCGGTGCCGTCTTCACCGCTACGCACCTCATCAAGCCCAGAAAACTCGGCGACCACACCTATCTCTCGTGGAACAACACCCCGACTGCCAAGTCGAGCGGCGGTTCCGCGACCGCCGTCGCCTCGGGCCGCGAGGTGCGTCCCACTGAGGCCTAGATGTCCGGCGCCAACCCCGCCGCGCTTGCACCTGCGGCCCAAATGCCCCAGGACGGCTAGGGTCTTTCTACTTCTTCTTGATTTTACTTTGCCCTCTTTTGTTTTTCATGGTCATGTACGACTACGACACACGTATTTCATGTTATTTCATCATCCTCAGTAGCATCGCTTTCCTCGTTTCATTAAGTCTTCTTTTGTGTCTTTTAACAATCTCTTTTCTGTTGGGTAAGACACTGGAAGTGTAAAAAACACTGCACTCCTCTTTCGAAGGATGTGCGGGTGAACGAGTTTTGGGTCGGGAGTTTGCTGTTTACATGCGCGATTTTAGAAATTATGTCTATTCTTTTCGGGTCCGGTATCGATCAACAGGTTTAAGAAATGCACACTTTCGAGTTCAACTTGAGCCATGCATGCATGATATTGGGATATGAAATAAATTTGCTTGATTTCAGCGTGATTGTTATTTCTTGCATGACAGAAAGACTAGAGCAGCTACGCACCGCATGAAGCTTGACGAAACGAGGACAGAAAGATTTAGAACAAGAATAAAAGTAGATAGAACAGCCCACTTGCTTTTCCGCTCCCAAGGAAAAAGACACATCACCCATTATACATTTGTGTTTCGCGCTCAGCCTCTACTTTCTGCGCTTTTTGCTGGCGCCGCGCTCCTCGTCATCTAGGCCGCTCTCTCTGTCGCGCTTCTTGGCCTTTTTCTCGAGCTCGTCCCAGTCCTCGCCCTCCTCGTCCGAGTCAATCTCGGCGTCGCCATCGTCGTCGTCGTCGCTCGCGTCGCTACCATACTCCGAATCGTCTTCGCTCGACTCCGACGCCGCGTCCAGGTCGCCTTCGTCAACCTCGAAAGCCGACTCCTCCGACTCCTCCTCCGCATCCTCGTCGTCCGATTCGGCCTGCAAAAAGGACCAACCGCCGTCGACAAAGAACTGGTGGGTGTCGGCCGTAACCGTCTTCATAATCGTGGGCCAGTTGAGATTCAGGCGGCCCTCGCTGAAGGCAATGTCGGAGGAGTCGAGGAAATCCTTGACTTGGTCGAGGGACTCGACGGGGATGGTATTGACGGCATATGGCGGGCGCGTAAAGTCCTTGAAGACAAAGACCATGTCGAAATTCTTGAGACCAAACTGGACACGTTCGAGATGCGCAATTTCAATATCCTCAATCGTGACAACCATGAAAGGTGGCTCTATCACCTGAATCAGGCAATCCGTCGTGGGCTGGATAAAGACGTTGCTCTTGAATGGCACACCGTGGAATCCGAGATCCCTGATGGGCATGTCCACTTCGATGCCCTCGCTGCGGCCGGCCTCGGCAATCTTTTGAGCGAATCCCTGGAATAGTCGGTCGAGTTCGGCGCGACGTCGTCTCTCTTCTTGCTCGGCCTCAAACTCATCCTCGTCACCGTAGCGATACTTGCGTTTCCGATTGCCAGTCTCGTCAAACTGGATGTCAGTTGCTTCGCGGTAGAATTGGACATCCTTTGTCTTCTTCTTGTTGCCGACGATGATAGGGTCCTTGAGGTGGATGTGAATGATGACAATGAGTTCATGCTGGCACGGCTGGAAAAACAGGTGCTTGACGTTGGAGAAAAGGATATCCACACGGTGCTGGGCGTTGAGCGGCGAGAGGTAGCGGATACCGTTCTGGTGAATCTCAACCTTGCCAGGTACGCGCTTACCCTCCATCGCTGGTCTGATGTAGACGTTGTCCAAGACCGCGGGTCGACGATTCCTAATTTCTGTGAGCTTGTCTTGTTCGACGACATCCTCCATGTCCTTCTTTTCTTGCTCCTTCTTGACAGCGTCGCGCTTCAAGTTGGAAATTTGCGTCGCAATCTCGCTATATCGATCGCCATCCGTTGAACGAAATGTCAAGCTGCGCACAAAGTGGGCATTGGCATCTTCAAAAGGCTGGTCATCCTTGCGGCCAACACCCTGTCCGGGTGATAAGAAGTTGACGCGGAGGAATGAGAAATCATTCTCATCACTCTTGCTTGCATTTTTTATCGTGTTGATGTGGAACGGCACTGGCCGACCCATGATGGGAAGCACAACCGTAGCGTTCTTGGTGTCAACAATAATTTCCAAATTTTTGACACGCACTGGGAACTGGTCGTCCCTCTTGTAAGAGTCAAAACGCTTGAACTTTTTGACCTCGGAACCATTCTTGTCGCTCTTGGCCTCTGAAAATCGGATAAGACCCTCTCTTTGCTTCTTAGCAGCAAGCTCTTTTTGATGGGCTTGGCGCTTGGCCTCGGCACCGTCGTCCACTTGAGTAGACCGCTCTGAACGAAGTCTTGTGCTGGTAATATTCTTTGTGGCAACAGCCCCAACACGAGAGTCGCGCTTCTCCTTTTTTGGTGTCGGCTGCTCCTCCTCGTCATCTTTGAAGAAGAAAGAATTGGCATCGGCACTGGTAGGGGCTTCGGAGGTGAAGACAATCGGCTCGGCGCTTCTGACACGGACGGTGTCGTTGAGCACAAGCGAATAGGTCTTGGAGTTCTTGTCCTGGGGTTGCGGGTTTTCAATATCTTGGAACCCAGTGTTGATGACCAAAGTCATGCCGTCCTTGAGAGTACGTTGATTCTTGGCGCTGAGAACCAGAGTCGAGTCTCGATTCTCAAGGCCAACACCCCAGCCAACGTTTTTGAGGAAGTGCTTCTCCATTGTGGGACTCTTGCTTTTGATGATACTAAGAGCCTTGGCGTAGACATTCTTGGCAACAACACCGTCGCGTAGCTCCTGAATAACAGCGTTGTGAATCTGATAGAGAAGCTTGTAGTTGTTCTCCTGCGATTTGTTCGGATCGACCAGGTACGTGCGGGCAATCGAGGAGCAGTACGACTTATATCGCAATCCCATGGCGGCGACAATGATACCAGGATGCAGGTTGTCATCGTTGGAGTCGGAGGCGAATCGCAGATCAAACTTGCCACCACTCTGAATGGCGGGTCCGAGAATCCAGTCAAGCTGCGTGACATCGAGATCAGCCGGCAGCTTTGTGTTGTTAGGAAGTTGCACAGTCTTCCAAAACTTGTCGTCATCGAGCTTCTTGTCGACCTTGTCTGCAAGCGCGGAGTGCTTGACTTGTTTCTCGGCATCGAGAATGCTGGACATTTCGTCCAGAAAGTATGGCGTCATTAAAGCAACGCAAGCTTTAGAAGCGGTTCGCATGGCGCGTAGCTCGTTTTCATCCTTTACGGAAAAGGCGTAGGTGGAGAGGGCCAAAGAGGCATCAACTTGTTCGATGTCCTTGCAGTCCTCGGCAAAAATCTTTTTCCACTCGTCGACGAAGGGCCCCTTAGACGTGTCTCGAGTGATGGTAGCAACTTTCTTCTGCAGACACGTTAGCTGTTGCTCACCGACGACCGCGCAATCACTTACTCCAGATTCATTGATCTTGTCGGCGATTGTTTTCCACAGCTTGGCATTCTCATCGGCATCTTTTCCCTTGGAGAGAATTTCAATGGGAAATCGGCCACCCTTGAGCTGCTCAAGATGTTTGGCTGCGTCGCATTAGCGGGGAAAACTCGTGCGCTGCTGCCTATACGAGAAATACCTTTCTTGGGCGTGGTAAGAATGTATAGAGTCTCTGTGGTGAAGAGCATCAGAGTCGTCGGGAACTCGTATCCGAGAAGCCAAAACTATCCATATAGTAAGCAAAATGATGTCGCAAAGCTGCAGCGATCGCGATTTTGGCGTGACGCACATGCATGGCGTTGTTCTTGTGGAACTCGGGAACCTCTTCAACCTTGCCCATGAGAATGACCAGGGAGGAGGCGCCCTGAAAAAGGCCGCCGTCCTTGGCTCGCAAGTCATTTTTCCATGATGTGACAAAGGAATTGATGCGCTCTTGGAAGAGCCTACTATCAATCTTGATCTCCGCCATCGCCGAGGTGTGATGATGAAGCGGAAAACGAGGTAAGAGACCGATAGGCAAAGATAGCTGGGTTAGGAGCTCTGGCTGTTGCGACGCGAGAAAATGGCTGGCGCGTTAATGACCAGCGTGGTCACGTGAACCGGCGACGCGTTCCGGGCTTCACTGTTCAACGACTCGAGAGGATTCAAGACAGTGAATGGGGGGACACGAAAAATAGAGTCGGAGAAACAAGAAGTCAAAAAATAGAGATACTGCCGTCATGATAGTTTCAAGTTGCAGATATCGTTGACTCTTTCCTTGCGCGGCCGATAAATCACTCTAGCCCGTTCTGCATCTGGTCATAGTGAGCCAGGCGGCGCCACTGCTAAGAATACTGTTGGTCTCAGAAGTTTTTGAACCGTCAACATGGATTTGCCAGAAGTCACAGGAAGAAAGAACAACGGCAATTCTTGTAGTAAACGCAGATTTTTGGTTCCTTTTCTTTATCTCTATTTCTTGTTTCAAAGAAAAGTAGCGAGTAGGATAATTATTCCCGCAGGGCGTTTGCGAATGACTTTGAGAGAAGTGCCTGCTATGAATACTCGGGAGTAGTACCTATGTACTTTATCCAAGTGGTCAAGCTAAAGTGTGGATAAAACATACACATTGAAGAATCTGTCAGCAATACTTTGTCCTCTGGCGCGAATGCGAACCTCTATAGCAGCTTCGCGCCCAGGTGTCGCGTGTAAGTGGCTGACCGTGCGGTCGCTCAATTACGCATCGGATAAACGCCGAGGCCAAAATATCGGGGCCTTTCCCAGCATCAGGAATAATCATACCGAAAGATTCAGTGGTTCGTTCTTTTTCCGAATACAGATATAGATAGGTCAGTGCAGTTGCCGGCCCCAGTGCCGAGTCGGAACCACTCCGTGAACTAGCGGCAAGTGTCCGTCTCCGCCGACAAAGCACTTCGCAAGCATTATCCAAGCAGAACCTCTTGTAAACCGTCACACTTTTTTTTTTATCTTGCCTCTCAGATCTTTCATACGCAAAAGCATAGAGTATTGCCAAAATGAAGATTCCATACGTCTCCAACCCGCCCGAGACAACGACGCCCGAAGACGCCGCTATCGTCGCCCGCATCCAAGCCCGCCGTTCCCCACGGCCGCTCATCCCGCTGGACCTGGCGCTGCTGCACGCACCGCCCGTCGCCGACGGCTGGAACTCGTTTCTCGGTGCCATTCGCACGCGAACGTCCCTGCCAGACGACCTGCGCGAGCTGGCTATTTGCCGCGTCGCCGCGTGCAACAAGGCGTGGTTCGAGTGGGCGCACCACGCGCCGCTCGCCGTGCAGGGCGGCGTGAGCAGCGCGGCAATGGACGTGGTCAAAGCCGAAGCGCTGCCAGAGGCGAGGCCTGCAGCGCTGCTAAACGACAAGCAGTGGGCAGTGCTGAAGTACGCGGATGAGATGACGAGGCATGTGCAGGTCGAGGATGAGGTGTTTAAGCTGGTGAGGGCGCACTTTGACGATCGCGAGACGGTCGAGATCACGGCTACGGTGCGTTTAAATCTTAAGCATATGGGGCTGTCTGTTCTAATTGATGTTGTAAATAGGTCAGCGCGTACAATTGTGTCAGCCGCTTCCTGGTAGCTCTCGACGGTGAGTTGTAAAAGAAGAATTTCCAATACAGTATCTAGTCTACTCGGTGCTAACATAGTATGACAGTCGGCGAAAAGAACGGAACGGGTCCCGATGATGTTGCAGCTCACTGATAGATCAAATACTGGCATTTTGGGGAAAAGACTAGATAGGACAATGCAAGGGAGGGGGTAGAGGTGAAGTGTTGAACAGGAGGCCAACAACAGGAAAGTTCACGACATGAACTTTCAAGACGTCGGATACAGTATAAAAGTCAAGAAAAAAAATCCAAGTGGAAATATCGAACGCAACTGAAAGAAAAAGCCAAGTCGGCATCAGCTTGAATAGGCTTGAAGCGAAATGACAAGGGGTATATTGTCTAAGTGAAGTGAAGAAGGGAGGAGGCGAAGCATTATGAAGGGAAGTGGAGCAAAGAACAATAGAAGGCAAACAAACAGAAAGCTCTATCCAACAAGCAGCTGTCTCAGAGTGAGAGCCGCCCAAGTCTCTCAAATCCGCAGATCTTGTCTGAAAACAGGATCCTTTATGTTTTCGGTTTATATCGCATATGCCGTCGTTGTATGACCAAAAGCGCAAACAAAACTGTGAAAGAGAAGTGCAAAAAGGTGTCTAGAAATCGTTTGCCACGTGGCGTCATTGTACAACAGGTTCCGTCATTAATAAAGTATGTTTGACAGGTATCGGCTTGTCGGGAAAAAAAAAAGGACGTAGAATTCATTCAAGGCGTGGGCTTCGTGAAACATGAGACGAGCTACGGAGCCCTTTCCCGCGGTGACAGGGATCTCTCGACGGACATGGATCGCTCAATTGACGCATGACGCTGGTGCATGCGCGGTGAGAGCTGCAGCTCCTCGACAACGCCGGCCCAGCCCTGGCGGCCGTTGGAGGCGACGCTCTCCCGGTGGCCAATGGCTTGCATGGTGAGGCGGCGGACGGGGGGACGCTTAGGGATGGTCTCGGTGAGCGACTTGCGCAGGACAGGTTTGCTCGGCGGCGTCGCAAAGGCGGCGGGCGACTTCTCCATATCTCTGGGAAGCGGTGGAGGAGGAGGCGGCTGGCGATCTGCGACCGAGGTAATGATGCCGAGGAAGACGACGAGGAAGCGCATGCGCAGGAGATCGAGGCGACGGACGCGGTCCTCGAGGCGGGTGCGCTTGGCGGCCCAGAGGAGGCGGGTGCTGGTGCGCATAGCGCTGCCAGTGCCGGTGCCGGTGACGTGCTCAGCGGCGATGAGGAGGGCGTTGAGCTCCTCGCGCAGATCGTCGCCGGTCCTCTGAATCTCGCGGAGCAGCTGGGCGAGGCGGAGCTTGTCCTCGAGGCGCTGGACCTTGGCCATGTCCTTGTCGTAGCTCTCGTTTTCCTGAATGGAAAAGTCGACCGTGTCGATAAAGGTGGCCATCTCGCGCGGCGCCGCGGCGTATGCCGCCCAGTAGGTGCTCGCGGTCTGGGCGAGGACGGCAACGGAGAGGAGAAGGGCGGTCAGGACGAGGATCAGAGCCCACTGGAGCCAGCCCGAGTCGTCGGCCATGGTGAGGGGCGGCAGCGAAGAGGGGGATGCGATGATGCGGTAGTCGTGATGGTCGTGATGATGGTCGTGATCTTGAAAGAAGAGGCAGTCAACTCGTGGGAGCGGTTGCGAGGTAATGACATGATCCAGTGGTAAGGGCGGCGGCGGTGGTTGGGCAGCGTTGGTGGTGATGTAAGAGAAGGAGGAGGAGGAGGAGGAGGTGGTGCTGGTGTGGTCTGGTTTGTTGTGGCCAAAGGCGGATTAGACGAAAAAAAGAAACCCACTTGCCGATTGACAGGCTGCAGAGTCATCAGAGCTTCACTGCAGGATAATTCTACTCTGAGCCTGCATGCATGCGACGCCTGGATCCGCCAGGCAGAGGGGAAAGATATGGCTGGCTGGCTGGGCCGGTCCTGTTTGGTTTGCTTGGTGTTGGTGGGCTTGTGAAGCTGGCGGGCCATCCCGCCCCTGCATAAAGGCAAATATGGGCTTTTGGGGCCGGGGCTTTCTTTCGGTTTTTTTCCCGCCTAGCGAGCCAGTAGTAAAGAGAGCTAGGAGGCACCTGTTAACTTACGCACGCACTCTTGCATGCCGGGGAACAAGAAACGGCACCGTCGGCTGTTGTGCATTAGGCCACTCTGCAGCTGCAGACCCGAGGCCGTTGGGCATGTGGTCTTGTCATGTTTGTCTACCTAGATATCCGTACCCAAGTAGAATTAGATAGAGTGCCATTATTATTTATACCAGTAGATATTTTAAAGTTCCAGCTTGTGTCGTGAAAAGCGGCATCTTTCTTCTCCTACTTTTTCTCCCCCATTAGACAAACCTTCCATTTAACAAGCTATCCGAGGTTCCCTCTCCGTTCCTGATTGCACACATTGATACAAGTTTCATTCAGTTTTACGCTGATACTGGTGTTCATTGTAATGACAGAATAAGTATTTAATGACTAAACATTAGGGTAAGAGGAGGTTTCGATGGTACAATATCAAGAATATAAAACCAAAACAGTTATCAACAAGACATCCGATGTCCTAGTAATTTCCCGCAGTTTTCTAATAACCGACATACACTACTCGAAATTCACGGCCTTTGAGTAGCGCTCGCTTTGCCTGGGTTCCTGAATTGGCGGCCTCTGATCTGGACCCAACTCGAGCAGGCCAAGGAAAACGGGCAAGAATCGACTACTCATATCTTCGGGAAGCGCAATAAAAAACCTATTCTGACCTCTGCGTAGCTTATCTAGACCTAGGATATACTTCTTGAGCAGCCCCTCGTCGTTGCACCCAAGTGGGCGTTGGAAGAAGTGTGTTCCATCTTCAGAATACAGTAAATCCAGAGGGCGCATTAGTTCTCAAGCATCTATTGGCAAGGTAGAGTGTCCGACAGATAGCATAACAAACGGCGGAGACACCAACTATTAGCTTTTATATACGGCTTTGGCCATTAAATCATGGGGCGGAGCTCAAGTTGGCAAGTATCCCTCCCTACTTAGGTATTTCCCAAAATTAACTTATGCACAGGTTATTTCTCAAGGATCTTGAAGTGGAAAGGCATCAGGTAGAACGTCTATCAGTCATTGATTTGCCAAAGGTATGAAGAAAAAAAATTGATAACTAATCGAGCTGGTCAAATCAGTGTCAAGTATAGGCGGGTGAAGATGCCTATAGCAAAAAGTCATGTGAGCACCTCGAGTAATGACAACATCTTGAGATGTCTCGTCTACTCCCCGCGACCTTTGCCTACCTACTATCCTGTTCGCTTCACGGTTTCACATTTTCCGTCATTTTCCTCCACCTCCGTTGCCAAGTTCCTCTGCTCTTCCAACATCGCAACTATCAGACTTTTTAACTTTTTTAGCCAGTGAGAACTAGGTAATAGTGGTGGTGTTGGAAATGCTAGTGGAATCGTGCTCTAGCAGCCTCTGAATCAGAGAAAGAAAAATAGAAGATCAATAATTTATCATCACCGCTATATGCCCCGACGAGCTTTCTGAGAATTTCTATATAGCCTTTACCGACGCTGGGCCGCCTTTGATATATGATTTTTTTTTTAGGCGATCACGTACCTATTCGTGCTATTCTGCCTCTCCCTCCACTCCCTCCAAGTGAGACCTGGTGGAGCGCTAGCCGCCCAGAAAAGGAAACCAAAAGCAGCGCGGTGGAGTCGTGGCAGTCGACGCCTTTTACTTGCGACTGTGGCCTTAATCATTTGGGGACTCTTGCCTGCTATTGCACCTCGACATCAGCCGCCCTTCGTCGCCTTTTCACCAACCATTGCCATCCTCCTTGACTCTGGCCATCGAGGTCAATCGAAACGATATAGTGCCAGTCATTGCTAAATTTTCCACGGGCATCGCTTTTTGTCTCGGCAGAAATCTGCCGCATCGTGCAGCCGCTTCCTAGATCGAGGTCCTTGGCCGCTTAATCTTCGCTCAACATGGCCGCCAAGTCGAGGTTCACGAGGCTCGACGCCTTTACCAAGACGGTTGACGAGGCTCGAATCCGAACAACAAGCGGCGGTGTAGTCACTATTGTCTCCCTTCTCGTCGTTCTCTTCCTTGTTTGGGGGGAATGGGCCGACTACAGAACCATTGCCATTCGCCCTGAGCTCGTCGTCGACCAGGGACGAGGTGAGTTGCGCAAATGGAAACAAAACCGCCAATGTGCTATGTGACTAACACGAGCGGCGGTACAGGCGAGCGCATGGACATTCACCTCAACATTACATTTCCCCGCATGCCCTGCGAGCTCCTGACCCTCGATGTTATGGATGTGTCCGGCGAGCAGCAGCACGGCGTCGCCCACGGGGTGCACAAGGTCCGTCTCCGTCCTGAAGCCGAAGGCGGCGGCGTCATTGATGTTAGCTCGCTGGACCTGCACAATGATGCTGCGGAACACCTCGACCCCAGCTACTGCGGCGACTGCGGCGGCGCGCCCGCCCCGAGCAACGTCAAGAAGGCCGGCTGTTGCAACACGTGCGAGGAGATACGTGAGGCGTACGCCCAGGTGTCGTGGGCGTTTGGCGACGGCAAGGCGTTTGAGCAGTGCGAGCGCGAGCACTATGCCGAGCGTCTGGAGGAGCAGCGCCACGAAGGCTGCCGCATTGACGGCCTCTTGCAGGTGAACAAGGTTGTGGGCAACTTTCACTTGGCTCCCGGCCGCAGCTTCAGCAACGGCAACATGCACGTCCACGACCTCAAAAACTACTGGGAGACAACGGACGACAAGAAGCACGACTTTACGCACTACATTCACCACTTGCGCTTCGGTCCGCAGCTGCCCGAGGCAGTTGTCAAGAAGATGGGCAAGGGTGCCACGCCGTGGACAAACCACCACGCCAACCCGCTGGATAACACGAAGCAGCTTACCGACGACCCCAACTACAATTTCATGTACTTTGTCAAGATTGTGCCCACGTCTTTTCTTCCTCTGGGCTGGGAGAAGATGTCACGCGCGATGAACACTGACGGTAGCGTCGAGACACACCAGTACTCTGTGACGAGCCACAAGAGAAGTCTCACCGGGGGCGACGACGCTGCTGAGGGCCACGCTGAGCGTCTTCACTCTAGAGGTGGCATTCCAGGTGTCTTCTTTTCATATGTAAGTTACAACGATCTACGAGCACCCCAATAGACGAACGCATACCTAATAATTCCTAGGACATTTCACCTATGAAGGTCATCAATCGCGAGGAGCAGGGCAAGAGCTTCCTTGGCTTCATCGCCGGTCTCTGTGCTGTCGTTGGCGGTACTTTGACAGTTGCGGCCGCCGTCGACCGTGGCCTGTTCGAGGGCACGACGAGGCTGAAGAAGATCCGATCCAAGAACCTTTGAGGGGCGCAAATAGAGAATTGCTTTTTTTCTGTTTCAAGGAAATATGTGAGGGAGGAAGAGCTGTTGCAGCGTTTCGAGAATTCGGCGTTTTTGTTTTCAAGTTTTTGGCATAAACTGGTTATTGTTCTCGTCTTGAGCGGGCTAGATATTAAGGCCGAGGGTTGCGGAGTTGGAGAGGTGATGCATGAGAGCAGTCGTGCGCTGCAAGGGGAGTTCAATGTGTTGCTAACGAGAGGCAGGATATAGGTAGACAGGCATGTCATGTGCCTAATTGGTGCTTTTACGACTGTAATTTCTGTACATGATCGTATTAAAGATTTCCACTGTCGCTGGTCTTGGAGGAAAAGCAAGATGCCTTTCTTTCAACTTTGTCGCATTACCATTGAAGGGGGCTAAAAGTAACGGCCCGCTGTCTTGACTTGTGAGACTGGGGAATTATGGGCACGGGAGTGACAAGGGAGGAAGCATGTTTCACCCGAGCTGGCCCGAGTGTGTCTGTTGTAACTTGTATTTATGTGTGTGTGCGTATTTGGCGTACCTATGCAGGTACGGAGACATTGGACAAGACGTAGCGCGTCTCTTCTAAGTGTTGTGTGTGTGATTACTGAGACGCATGGAAGCGAGTGGCATAGAAACGAGACTTGAGTGATGGGAAGAAGGGAAAAAAATTGAGAAAAGCAATAAAATAAAGAGAGAAATTTATGTGCAATGTTTTTTGTGAGAAGCACTTTCAAGTTCTGTAGATCAATGAATTGCTGTTACGGGAGGTACAAAAGTGTGGGGACGAAGGCATTCAGGGGTGCATCTGGTGCAGGCAGTGTTTGTGCATGCGATGAGGGATGTCAGGATAAATTCGAGGATGAGAGAAGCAAGATGATGCGATGCATGCATTGCACTGATTTACAGACTTGTTATTCGATTTCTGTTCCTTGGGAATGTCATGCGAGGCTGCGTGCGCGGCGTAGCTGCAAAGTAATGCTTTCCCCCCTGGGTTCGTACGCAAGGCTGCATTTTGCATGAGCAGGGGCATTGGCAGGAGCACAGGTTTCGCCAGGGTAGACTGTTTATGAATCGTTTCATGGATCGTTGTAGCCATATGAGAGGAACAAGGGCGCGTTAGACTAGTGATGGTGTGCGTCGCAAATCAACCAGTTGCAGGAGGAGTGCGCTTCTCTGAAAATACGAGCTCAGACGGGTTCACCCTCACTTTCCGCGTGTGAATTACTTTTAGCACGAGAGTGGCAAAGAGACGAGGCTGAATCTGGTTGTAGTATTCTGTAATCATTATTCCGTAGTGTTATGATACTGGAGACGGCCGCAAGTGGCAAGTGCTTTTGAGTGAGATTGAGATGGACAAGCCCCTGTCGGTCTATTTTATTAATAGCTCCGCAAGGCCCAGTGGATGCCGGGCGAGGGCATGTGCGTATGTACTTCGTATCCAGATTGCGACTGAGCCGAGGTGGGACGGGAGCAGCCAGCGATGGGCCTATTTAGGAGTTTGCTTTTACGAAAGGGAATGAAAAAGGAAGAACGGCATGCGCAAAGCTCGCAACAGGAAATCTGGAGTGAGAGTCGAGTGTATTCGTTGGCAGCAGCGTCCCTTGTTTCCTTTTTCCCTTTTTGTTCCAGGTGGGGCTGCTGTGACGCATAGGCCATGCACGACGGCAGACGAAGTGATGAGCTGGGGAAATAAAAAGAAAAAACATGTCTGTGGCTTGGGATGTGATGATGCCCTCGAGAATTGTCCTTACCAGTTATTCCGTACAAAAGTACAGAGGTAAGGTGATTGGACCATAATAATTGGTTCCCTTCCCTGGTTGGTTCCCGCACAGGTAACCCACTAAGCAAGGCGCAAAAATCCTCTGCCCAAACGGAAGCTGCCTGAGCCCAACTACCTAGGTAGTCTCTCTCCATCAACGGTGACAATCCATATCAGTCTGCCCTGGTAATACGGTGAACACGATTTTCCCATGACCGCGACTTGCTGATTGCTGCCCCGCTGGTTTCTTGTAAGGGTTTTTTTTTTTTCTATAAAAATCTTGTCCACCAAGTTCGACTCACAAAACACGAAAACATGTGTATTATTCCGTACCTGCTAATTATTAGCGTACCTAGAGAGGCTAGTGCAGGTACCCCCATTTAGCCCCCCTTGTCACGCCGCTTGGTCCCCTGTTCAGAGCTGGCAGCGCCATTGTCCCCCAATGTCCCCTCCCCCCCGGGTGCTCCTTTCTGCACCTGCTGCACGAGCATTGCTGTACCGCTGCTGCACCGCCAATCCCCAACGCCAACGCCAACACCAACGCCCCCAGCTCACTGCCAACTTGTTCCCCGTTGGAACTTCTCACTCTCCCTCCTGCTTGCCTAATCTTTCGCTGGCCTCTTGACAATACATTTCCTTTTGTTTCTTCATCTTCGCTACAGAAATCCATCTCTCTGCGCACCCCCGGTCCATCATACTTCCTTCATACTTTCCACAGCGCGTCCTTCGCACCCGCAAATAATCTAGGTTCCCCCGACTACCTACGTCTCCGCATGCCTCACCCGCCCGCCAACCCTCGACCTACGAAGTAGGAGAACCTCCTCCTGACTTGGGCCACTGCGTCGTCCAATTGCCTTGGTCCCTCGTCTTTCAACCGAAAACTTCTTCGCTTCGCTCGACGCTCCTTTCTTCTCTAAGTCCCGCGTCATTACGTGGTGTCTCTTCCTTTGTTAATAGCGTCTCTCAGACCTCCCATTGAGACCTCACATCTACCTGTTTTCGACGACACCATCGTTTCTTACCCCGTCCGCTACATGGCGAGCCCCTCGACTCCCTGCTCGTCTCCTCTCTTCTGAGTCGCTGATCTCCTTCTCAAGAACGAGAACGAAATTCTGCCGTGAGCCTGCCCGAGACACCTCGCTCGTTCTGCTCCGGTTCGCGAGCAACGCCTTGGCCAGCGGCCAAGCCTCTCACCATGTCCGACAAACGCCCAAATCTGTTGGACCTGCGGTCGACCTCGCACGCCTCTGGCGTTTCCAGTGCCTCCAGGCCCCTTCGCTCCCCGCGCTTGCACATTGCTGGTGAGGCGCCCCCCGAGCTCTCCCCACTCGACGCCTTTGCTCTCCAGAGTCGCCTTCTCGCCAAGCAGCTTCAAAATGGCGACAAGGACGGCAACAGGGTCAGCCGACTGCCGCCTCTCACCCTCCAAAGCCCTTTGGTCGTGCAGGGCCGATCTGATTATTTTCGATCCATGGCCCACGAATCTCCAACGGACCCCGCCTTTTCGCCTGATAGCGCCAGCGACTCTGTTGGCCTCAAGACTGAGTTCGAGGATGCGTTTGAAGCCTGCGACCGTCCCGTTTCCATGCACCCGCGCATGAGCCGCATCCAGCCCAATCTCGATGATGCACCTCCCATGCCAGGAGCTTTTCCCGAAATGCCTCGCGGCCGCCAGCAACTCATTCCCGACGGAACAGATAGCTTCTTCGGAGCTCGTACCCGCTCCCCATCCCCCATCCAAAGCGACACTCAGTCGCAATTCGAAAAACGATCAGAAAAATCACCAGTTCGAAATATCCCTGGCGCCTTTCCTTCCAACCAGCTCGCAGTTTCTCCCGAAAGACCACGTCCGTCTTTCGAAGACACTGGCCTTGTTCCTCCCAGGCCTCCCTTCATGGCCAAGCGAACATCAAGCATCAAATCCTCGCCTCCGGCCTCAATAGATGATGACTTTACAAGCACTCCTGCCAGCTCTTTTCACTCCACAACAGCACGCAAGCTTTCCTCAGCAAGTAGCGCTTTTGCCGCTCCGGGACCTCTCCCAAACAGTTTCCAGAGATCCCCCTCCGTGGCCTCTGACGCCTCCGGCCTTCCTCGTCCTTCTTTCAACTTTTCTCGCCCACTTAGTCGCGCTGGTACCCCTTCCTTCGACCTGCCTTCAAGACAAGCCTCCTCGGATAGCCAGCCCTCATTCTATTTGGCCGATGATGCCCATACGCCGGTCAGCATGTATAGTGAGGCATTCCTCGATCAGCAAGTAGATGATGGTAAAGGCACTGGCCAGTCATATATATACTCAAAATTCACTCTGCCACGAGGAAAAGCTGTCCACAGGTCAGAACCGCCCGAAACATACCCTCTCACACCTTCAACTTCAGATCCACGCAAACTATCAGGCGCGCCGCCTTCCCCACCAAGTCGCCCTTCTAGTTCATCGGCGAGATTCATGGGAGACGACGCGTCAAGCTTCATTGCCCGTCCTTCTTTTGATGCGGGTAAGACGAGCTTGGACATTGCCAGACTAGGTCCTGCAGGATATCCATCTCCGAGTCCGAGCCGGCGCTCAGTCGATGTCGCTCGGCGCTCAGAGGAAGTCGCTCGTGGCCGAACTTTACAATCAAATCTCAATGATGCACGTGGTAGAACGCCCGTATCTACTACTCTGGCATCCGCTAGTGCTGGCACCGTTCGACCACCCCCCACAGCAACGTCCTTTTCATCTTCTTTACCCGAGTTAACAGCTGAAGACCATTTGGAAAAGGGTGTCCAATTGCACGAGAATGGATCACTCAAGGAGTCAACGTATCATTTGCGACTCGCTGCCAAGCAACACAATCCTACTGCCATGCTGCTTTACGCCCTTGCCTGTCGCCACGGCTGGGGGATGCGGCCCAGCCAACGAGAAGGCGTTGAGTGGCTTCGCAAGGCTGCTGAACATGCTAGTGTCGAGATTGCCGACGACGAAGACCACGCCAAAGAGGGGACGCACGTAGATGTTATCGAACGGCGAGCGCATAAGGCGCAGTTTGCCCTTAGTATCTACGAGCTTGGAGTCAGTCACATGAATGGTTGGGGCATTGAGCAAGACAAGGCTCTTGCTCTCCGATGTTTTGAAATCGCAGGCAGTAAGTTTGTAATCCAGACTCAAAACAAAGTGACACTAACAGTTCTTAGACTGGGGCGATGTTGATGCTCTTGCCGAGGCAGGCTTCTGCTACGCCCAAGGTGTCGGCTGCAAAAAGAACCTCAAGAAGAGTGCCAAATTTTACAGACTTGCCGAAACCAAGGGTATGAGCATGGTTGGCAATAGCTGGTATGTCAAGACCTCACTGGTCACAGTTTCATTTTGCTCTAACAAAGTGCCAGGATTCACAAGGCCAAGTACAACGATGATGCCGCCAAAGACGCCAAAAAGATACGAAGCAGATCGAGAGCACGAACCATGTTTGGCTTGAAGCAACGTTCCGTTGAGTAAAAGGTCACAGTAACACCTTCGCAATCAACAGTGGGAGTCAGCCTACAAGCAATCATGATGATGAAACAAATTTCGATCAGCATTTCACCCTTTTCATTCGCATCTTCTATTCTACGCCTATTTTTTCATCCATCTTTTTTCGGCATAATCGACATTGGAGTTTTATGGGCGCGATCGGCTTTTTGAAATTGTCTCAATCGCTACCACGGATAGTCACTTTTTTCCCATTATATACCACACACTTCTTCTGCTCCCACTTGGGGGCATATGCAACCTTAATGGCTGCTTTAGATGCCACCTCTTTCTACAGCACCTGCTCTTACTCCATGTCGGCGATCCAGTGCTTTGTCTGTTAGTCAACAACAGCTTCCATATCTTGTGTCACATTATGTACAGAATATACCATGACATTGACCTTCTGCGTTCATCATCTTGCTCGGCACATGTCAAATAGCAATCTAAACACCCCTTAACCTTGAGATATCCGTATGCCTGTGCGTTCTTCTATTCGGCCCATGCAATATATTGGCCAACAGAATTGATTAACCGATTCACTCCTTCATCGAAGCATGTTGACATGCTGACTGGGTAATTGGGATCAAACGATGATATTGTTACAGCAAAGTCTCCTTGTATCTAATCGCAAATCGTGGTTGTCATCACATCTCCCCATCCTTTCTTGCCGAACTTGGGCTGCGTTTACAGCTCTATGTGTCAACCTCCATACGGTCTCCTTCAACAGGTACCTCCTGCACCGTGATATATCTGCCAATCTCATTCTTCTTGATGATGCGCTCGTCGAGGACATTGGTGGTGCCCTTGGGGAAGACATAGCTCTGCAGCTTGGCGGACTTTTCGTTGGGTTTGATAAAGTTGCGAAGTAGCGTCGTCTTTTCCTGCGTGATGACGGCAACGTCAACGTTGGAGCCGGAGCCGAGATCGTTGAAGATACCGGCGAGGATGGCGTCGCTGGTGAGCTTGATGGCTTCGTCCTTGGTCAGGTCAGGCTTCCACTGGGTCTCAAAGACGGACATGGCGGCGAGGGAGCCGCTGCCCATGGTGACGTAGGGCAGCTTGTCGGTGCTGCCGTGGGCGTGTACGGTGAAGAGGTGAGTCCCGGTGGGGTCGCAGCCGGCGACGACGAGGTAGGCGCCAATGTGGCCCTGGTAGCGGAAGAGGTGCTGCTTGAGCATGGTCATGCAGGTGACAACGCGGGGCTTGCGGCCCGTCGAGAGAGAGTGCAGCTCCAGCTGCGACGAGATGAGAGCTGTGGTGAACTCGGTATCGGCGGCAGTGCCGGCACCCGCACACCAAATCTGCGGCGTGATGTAGTGCAGCTTCTCGCAGTTCTTGTCGGCGACGATGGGTCCTGACGTGGCACGCGTATCGGCGGCAATCTGGGAGAGAGGATCATGTTAGAGCTTGGAGGGACCCTTGATGGGGAGGGGAAATTGTCAACGTACCACGACACCGCCATCATATATGCAGCCGACAATGGTCGTGCCGGTGCTCGTGGCCTTGGGCAGAGGCACGCCGCGCGAATGAAGCGCCGCATTGCGGTTGTAATTGGTAAAGTCGAAGCCGGGCATCGTTGGGACAAAACGCAGCGCGGGAAGCCAACAGGGAAAGCTCTCTGAATTCCAAAAGGGTGTTTGCGTATAGTTTTCCTATCGTTTGCGGGATGCGAAAGGCGGCAGAGAATCTGAAAACTAGTGTTGAGGCCGGGCTGGTCCGTGAATGATGGGTTCGAATCGGGAGCGGTCGATGCTCCAGAGGGTTGAGAGCTGAGGCGAATGCTATACTGGGTATGAGTGTTGCAAGGCAGGAGCTGATGACGAGGCTAAAAGGTGCGCGCCTCACCACAGACGGCCGTCTGGGAAGCTCCCAGCCTTGCGCGTCGCTGATTGGCCAAAACTCCCCAGGTTGCAGCAGTCGTCGCAGCCTGCAGGGATTTCTGCATGCTGCACGTGACTGCGAGCTTGACCGTAACAAACGGAACTTATTCACAACAAGTAGTGAGTCTGCGGGAGAGAAATCGGACAGCAGTGAATGCATTTTGCTGAATATCGCCGAAAATTCAATTTCATTTGTATCTCACACAATCTTCGGTCATTTTGTGGAAGAAGTCACCGCCAATTGGGGGAATCACGCAGACCAACAAGCCGCAATAGCTCACCTGGACTAAAACGGTACGGCACCAAAGTAACGCCAGGCGGCGCACTGGGGAGATGCTACAATAGTATGCCCGACAGTCTACAGACTGATACGCAAGCAGTAAGGGTAGGGGTAGGGGTAGCAGCTCGTAGTGGTAGTGGTAGTGGTGCTGGTAGCTTAGGTAGTAGCTAGTGTGCTCTAAAAGCAGCCTGGAATTAAGAATTTTGGCTCCATCTTCCTACTGCTACTTCTTCCACTTCCTACCACTACCACTACCTCTTTCACTACCTACCGCTACCTCTTCCACTTCCTACCACTACCTCTTCGACTTACCACCTCTACTACTAGCTTCCGCGTTTGTTTCGCAACGGGTTGCGATTCTGGTAATGAAGCCGTTGCGTTTAGGTGGTAGGTGGATGGATGGTTTAGACAAGTAAGATATTGGAGAGCTTAGCACCTGTAAAGCATTTGTAGCACCTGTACATTTTAGTGTAGAGCTACTTATTCGCACATGACTTGATATGGGTCGTGAAAATTGATCAGAGGCATGATGTTAAAAGGGGCTGAGCCTGGGATTAATCATTCGCAGACAACTGGCTTATAGTTGTAGTTTTGGAGAAGTCGGTTAGACAGAACAGTGACATTCCCTCAAATACTCGTGAGAATATAGCAGTCACTCCTTAAAGATACATGATCATTGCTGCTGCTATAGTTGTTGTAAATAATCGGTTTCCTTGCTCGGCTTTCGACAGAAGCGACAGTGCGCTGCTGAGCCTGGTCCTGATGCTAGGTTATGACTGATTCCTATAAAAACTAAATCCCGTGGCCGATGACATAATATATAACCATCTTTCCCGCAAGCCTCTCCAATTATCGTAACTATTCTACTACACCATGGCTCACCCTCAGAAATTTTACGTTCGACTGGCGAGCCTAGAAGCCCATGACGCGCAATTCATTATCGCAGCTTTCGACTCAACGCTACCGCGCCTTGCTGCGATCGGCTCTGCAGAGATGTGGGGAGAACAGCTCTTCTCCGAACAGGAGGGTTTTGCGCAGGAGACGATTAAGTCCGTCCAGGAATCTCAAGACCCAGACAGTGCGTCGAAAATCTTTATCGCAGAGACCCAAAGGACAGCGGAGCGCGTTCGAGTCGGAAGTGCTACGGTACGCGAAGACTCTATGCCTGCGTACATTATCGAGCACGAAAAAATGAAGCCCTATGTCCAGGGGGCAGATAATTTCCTATTTTTAGAAGTAATCATCGCAGATTACCGCACAGATGGGCTTCACAAAGGCGTTGGAACATGTTTACTTGAATATATCCAACGCTACGGGCGCGAACGCAGCAAGAAAACGCTATATGTTGACTGCTGGCCCGGTAACGGCGGCAAACTAAACAGGTGATGTGCTATCCGGGCGGTTCTTGGACACAAGTACTCATCCAAGACACAGGTATTATGAGAAACAAGGCTTTGAAAAGGTTGGAGACTTTTCCTTCCCCCGAGCAAGCGGTGGCACCTGGCCTGGTACTCTCTTTCGCATGCCTTTAGATAGTGAATGACAGCCATAGCATCGCACATGAAGATATTGATCTCCGTGAGTAGGCATTTGCCAATCTCCGCGCTGAATGTCGCTTTGCTCCCTAACTTATAAGAACGTACATAATTAAGGCCCAAGAGGGGGGGACAAGAAAAACCGGTCCACTCGCCTATTATTGACGCCGTGTTCTTTATCATAACTACGCCGCGTCCTCGGCCAACAGTTATTCAACCATGGCCGGCATTGTCGATTGCAGCTCGGAGCAAAGAGAGAGAGAGAGCTGGCTAGCTGGGCAATTCCACGGGGCCGGATTGGTGAGCAGGAAGCTCTCTTGGACCCCATCCTCCTGTGGCTCTGTGCGATGGATTTTTTTTATCCTCGGCGTTTGACAAGGCCAACTGCTCAGCGCTTCTTTTCTCCTTGCTTCTTGTCGCCGTGGCCTTTTTGTCGCGCCGAATCAAGTAAATGGCAACAAGACCAAAGATGCAGAGGAGAGCGATTCCACCAATCACACCACCGATAATAGCAGGAGTGTTATTGGTGCCAGAACCTTGAGGCGTGGCAATATTGGAGGTTGCTGGTGCCATTGCAGATGATGTCGGGCCGGCCGAGGTAGTACTGCCGCCATTACTGCCGCCAGTATTGCCGCTGGTACTGCTGCTAGTGGCTGGCGTTGTCCACGTCTGTTTCGGCTCCGAGCCTGCTGTTGGCAGAGGCGTTGGCTGCGTGGCCTTTGTGTCTTGGGTCGTCGTTGTCGTCGTCGTCGCTGCGGCAGTAGGAGACACGAAATAACTATGTATGCCAGACTTCCCACCACAAGCAATATACGAATACGATTGATCAGTGGCCAAGGCCAACAGAGCGGTGGAACAATATTGGTCCGAGTTACTGTCAACAAATGTGCGTCAGTAATTCGTTCTTCAAGGTCTCGATAGGAATTGAAGCACCAACCATGTAAATGTTGTAAGCTCTCCTTGGAGATTGCCACAACCTTTTGTGCAGTAATGCTGATCAATGCAGGCTCCAGCCAGGCCACAGTCAACGGCTCGACCAACCGTGGTGGGACAGAAACCCCACAGGCTATTTGCTGTATCGAACCGACAGTTATATCCAGAATTGGCGGTGCGAAAGTCGGTCGGATTTCCATCCAGATAGCCACAGGTTGTGAGCGGGTCGGGCTCGCCAGCTCGAATCAACAGGTGCTGCGTCTCATTGGTACCGGCAGCGTGATGAGCGTTGAAGAGGTAGTAGTAGGCTAGGTTTGGGAAAGCAGACGAGCTGCGAAAAGGAGCGAGGAGAAGAAGAAAAGAAAAGTAACGAGGCATCTTGTGCTGCCAAGGTGTAGCCCAACAGGCGAGGAAGAAGACGAACGAGAGGGAGGCGCACAAGGCATACATAACCACCACCAACCACCAACTTATAACTTATAACGGTGGGCGACCCGCCAATACCCTTCCGTTGGAGGTGTGCCACCACTGTAGCGCCATTGGGGAGATGGGGTAAGAGAGATGTTTTATTTAATTTCCGACCACGCATGCCGCTACTTGGAAGGATTGCTGTCGAAGGACGCGCTGGCCAAGTCGGCGGGTCACGTCGGCGGCGGCGGCCGATGTTGGTTGGGTCTGCGGGTATATGGACCGGTATCCTCTAATACATGTTAGGTATGGTGCCCGCTTTTCGTCTGCGGACAGATGCATCGCAGTCTGCGGGCCGACAGGGCCGTAAGACCGGCTGGGGTTCTCTTTGGATCTGTATCGCTCTGATTGGCAGGTTGGCAGGTAACACCACCACCTTATATATTGTAACCGCCGTAAATTTCTCCTGTTTCCCGCCCCTGTCAGGCCAAAGCCTTACTTTCGTAGAATAAAAAGGCTGTGCCTATCCGTAGACAGTGTCCATTACGCCCCCCCTCATAAAATCCCAAATCTGTGCAGCCGCACAAAATGGCCTTGCGACCACCATGTCTCTTCCTCCTGACCGACCGGCTGGTTGGTTCTGTGACAATGCGTCAAAGGAGGCTTGCGCTGCTTGCAGCGCCTATCCTGTGCTTCTTTTTCCTGTCCACAAGCCTGTACTACCGACGGGAGCAGCTGTCGAGTCTGAAATTGCCATTTCACTTCGACTTGCACGGCTACCATGACCGTTGGATGACACCCCCCGCCACAGTTGTCGATGGTCAGTCCCCCGCCCTCTCAGGCTTCCTATGCGCCTAAGGCGTATTGCGAGCTTTTCGTTGCTAAAGCAGACTCTAGGCGCGGTATTATCCTCCTCAAATATTTCCACCTATATAGACTCCATCTTTAAGCCGACGTCGACAGCCCTGCCCCGATTAGAGTGCCCTGCCCTTGATCGCCAGCGATATGCGTCGCTGCAAGCGCCCGCCGACGCAGGTCGTGAAATACAGTATTACTTCGCCTTGGACTTGCGCAACTGTCTCTCGCTTCTTCCGCGACTGATGGGAAGTTTGGTCCAGGTCATCAATTTCCTCGGCCCCAACAACTGTGCTCTGTCCATCGTCCAAGGCAACTCTCTTGATGGTACAGCCGACATTCTGAATGCCCTCAAGGGCAATTTTGAAGCGATGGGCGTCACCTATCACATCAACACCTCGTCTCTTGACCCTTCGGCCGGAGACAGAATCGAAAAGCTGGCGGAATTGCGCAACATGGCTTTGCGGCCGCTGCTCAGGGAGGCGAACCGCGTCACAGATAACACCACTGTCATTTTCCTCAACGACGTGGCAGCCTGCGCAGAGGACATCCTCGAGCTTGTCCATCAGCGCCGCAATCTCGGTGCGGATATGACATGCGGCATGGATTGGACCTACGTCGGCAGAGATCCCACGTTTTACGACGTCTGGGTTGCCAGGGGCATCAACGGCGATACCTTCTTCGATATCCCACCGGACGGAAATTGGAATTCCGCCTGGAACCTTTTCTGGAACGCACATGATACGCAAACGAGGTATTCGCAACAGCGACCCTTCCAGGTCTTTGCGTGCTGGAATGGCGCTGCCGTCTTCTCCGCGAAGCCGATACTCGAGGGCCTGAGATTCCGTACGGCAAACACTGACGGGGGCGAGTGCACTCAAGGCGAACCGCAATTGTTCTGCAAAGACTTGTGGTTCCGCGGCTATGGCAAAATTGCCGTTATTCCGACAGTAAACTTGGAGTACTCTGACGAGAGAGCAAAGCAGATCAAAGACCTGAAGGGCTATGCGTCGAACTTGGTTTCCGAGCAGGACCCAGCCAACGACGTATTTGCATGGCAGCAAAATCCCCCGGACAAGGTCAAGTGCATGCCAGTATGGGAGAACCAGTTCTGGCAAAAGTGGGATGAGGGCTTGTCATGAAAGTCGTACAAGAAAGACTACGCGACATAATTTAGCGTTGCATGGCTGGCGTGTGGTCGAATAACTGTTAAAAGTCGGCAGTACAGACTACATTGTATATTTTCTCACGTCACCGGGGTTTTTTTTTCCCCAGTAAACCATTTGCGATTATGTGACGAAATAATGTGGTGAACAGCTGTGTCAAATTAGGCACCCTCCCTATCTATGCCAAGCAACCACTCAACCACTCCACCCACCTCGACAAGCCGCTACTCGCCTATCAACATTTCATGACCCACCACAGCGCTTATTTTCCTTCTAGCATAAAGTGTCGACTCGGCGTCGTCTAATCCAACTCTATATCCGGTCCATAAGTGTTTTTTTTTTCCTTCGGGGCCAGGAATCATGTCCCACGATAAGAGCATTGCTCTCATCAATAGGCAGCTTTTGGACATGCTTCTCGCGTACTTGGGGCGCACCAGACGCAGATTCGGCATCAGCTTCCTTGTCATTGCTTTACGGTCGAGAAGATCCGATCTGTGAACGAGGGCTCCAAAGTCACCGGCGTGATCGCTGGAACTATAAAATGCATATTATACGGCAAGAGATATCGGCTGGTAGCTAGAGTAAGCTAAACTACCTTATCTCTATTATCCTGCAGGAACTAGCTAAGCTAGTAAAGTTAAAATTTATCTTTTTTTTAAAAAAAAAACCTCTATTAATAGTATTATAATATTTTGAAATCTTAATTATAAATTATTATAATATTTAAAACTATTTTATAATTAACTTTTATATTTACTCTTTACTCTTAGCTATAATAATTATTATATAAGTTATAAGACTAAAATATTAACTTTTTTTTGATTATTTTTAATTAAAATAGTATTAAATGTATGTTTTTCTAGTGTTAATTCATAACTTATAGCTGTTATAAGATACAGTGTAATTACGAAGAGTTTATAACGCCTGGGTCGCGTCGCGAAAAACAACTAACCTTAGGCGGCCACCCCACGTGACAGCGCGGGAAGGCGAATCAGAAAACGGATGCGAGGACACCGACACAGGCATTACAGAACGATTAACCAAATAACTAACTACCTTACCTACCTATCTTTTCAGCGCTTCCAAAACTGCTGCAGCTGGCGTGTCTTGGCACTGCCACCAGCTGGGCAAAGAAGAGCTGGCTGGTTACATCGACCACCTCATGCGCCGCGCACACTGTCAGGCTTGTTTACTCAAAAGTTCACAGAAAATGTCTTTTGGCGGTTTCTCCCAGGGTGCAATGGGCGGAGGCGGCAATGCTGGTGCCGTAGTAGATGGGCAGCCTCTGCCTACCATTCAAACAGAGGTATGCTACTGATATTTGCGAGGTTTTCATTATGATTCCCAGTCGACTCGTCATTGATGAATCATTTTACATCCATCCTTGTTACTGACACGATAGTTTGCAGGCTCTTGGTTTCCAGACTGTTGCGGGCGACGCCAAAGTCGGCCTCACGAGTCCATGGTCCCAACCACCGCCGTCGACCGCCTCGCTCCTCAGCATCGCCCCGAAGAGGGGACTTGCCGCGGCGGCGGGCCCCGACTACGTTGCCTTCGCCACGACCGAGTCCATCCGCAAGGCTTTCGAGGCGCCCAAGGACGGCGACACGGACGTGCGCGGCTACGAGCCCCAGCTTAGGCTGCCCATGAGCATGCGCATCTCGCAGCTCGCCTTTACCGCCGACGAAAACTACCTGCTGCTATCGGCCGAGTCGGGCGGCGGCCTCGCCGTCTACGAGGTGCAGGCGCTGCTGCAGGGCTCGACGAGCGTGGCATTCGAGCTACCCACCGGCGGCCAGGCCCTCCGCGCCCTCGCGCCCAACCCAACCGCCGAGAAGGCTGAGCTATGCGCTATCGTCACGCAGTCGGGGGAGCTCTTCATGGCGAACCTGCGTGAGAGACAGCTCAGCAACGCGCTCAAGTCGCATGTCAGCTGCATTAGCTGGAGCGCCAAGGGGAAACAGCTCTGCGCGGGCCTCGGCGACGGCTCCATCCACCAGATGACGCCTGAAGGACAGGGCAAGGCGGAAATCCCCAAACCCCCAAGTCTTGGAGACTGTCACGTCTCCTCTCTCACCTGGCTCGAGAATCACATCTTCTTGGCTATACACTCTACTAGCGACTCTCCGTCAGCCTCTGTATATCACATCATCACCCGAGAGCCTCCTTCGTCATTCCAGTTCCGAAAGCTTGCTGACCCCGTCGAGCCATTTGGTTCCGAAAAGACGCCTCACCACACTATTCTGCGTCTGCGCAACTTTGATCCGGACTTGCAAGAACTGCTCATGGTCTCCTCGACAGCTTCTACCGATGTCGGTCTGCTAACTCGATCCAAGAAGGCACTTGCCAATGATTGGCCAGCGGACCAGATTACAGGCGTGTTTACAACGACGGAGCTTCTGGATGATACGAGGCGCCCAACACTTCCAATGACGGATTCGATGGATGATTCCACGCCAGTCGGTGTTTGCCTGGATCTGTCAAGTAAAGAGAAGGTATACCGGCCGATCCCCTCGGACGAGGAAATTACGGAATCACCGAGCCCGCTTCCGGGACTGTGGGTACTGACGCATGAAGGTATTCTCTGTGCTTGGTGGCTTGTATATACGGACTCGATCAAACAGGGAACCACCTATCCTGGTCTTGCTGTTGCCGCTGAATCAACTGCCATGCCTCCTCCAGCCACTCCGAAGCCTGCGACCTCCCCATTTGCTCCCGGAAAACTCCCTGCCTTTGGTTCTACTGCAACAGCCGCACCGGCGTTTGGATCTACTACTCCTGCGGCGCCAGCATTTGGCTCTGCTTCCGCACTGGGACAAAATACTTCGCCCTGGGGCTCCGGGGGCGCAGCCACTACTACGCCGTCGCAAACAGGAGGTGCCACGTTTGGCCAGAGCAGTTTCGGCAATGCACCGTCGACACCGGCGCCTGCTTTCGGAAAGCCCTCATCCATTGGCTTTGGCCAGTCTTCCCAGTTGGGTATGAGAACCTCGCCCTGGAATGTTGGCGGCGGCAACTCCACGCCTGCATTTGGACAGTCGGGCTTCGGCAGTTTTGCCAACAAGAACAACCAAAGCCCGTTTGGAAATGCGACAGGTTCGAATGACAGCGGAGCTAGCCTCACGTCTCCTGCTTCAGGTGGCTTTTCTAGCTTTGCTAAAAGCACTGGTGGCTTTGCGGCCGCTTCAAATGATAAAGCTGGCACGAGCGTCTTTGGCAGCGGCGCCGCCAAACCAGCAAGTAACCCCTTTGCTCCCACGACGCCGGCCGTGGATAACCCTTTCACACCCAAAGATAAGCCTGGTGGAAGCGTATTTGGCTCCACGCCCTTCAAGCTCGAGAGCTCGTTCAAGCCGGATCCTTCGGCCAAGGACGATGCTAACCACCCCGTAGCTTCTGGTTCCATGTTTGGTAGTGCGTTCGGATCGGCGCTGACAGGTGCTGGTAATGGCGCGGACTCTTCCAACGTCATCGCCAAGGACGATGAAATGGGCGATGATGACGCTACGCCACAGGCACCTGAACCTCTAAAATCAATCTTTACCACCAAATCCGCTGAAGAATCGACGACCCCGACTAGTACACCGGCGCCAACTCGATTTGGAGATGTCACTTCGCCTGCTCCGGCCACATCCCTTTTCGGACAGCCCACAAAGCTCGGCAATTCTTTCTCTGGAGGTAGTCTGTTTGGCCCCAAGAAGGACTCGCATGAGCCCACGCCAGCTCCTAGCATCTTTTCCCAGACTTCAGCTGCTTCCAAGACGGAGCAGCCTGCGAAGAAGGAGCTCGAAGCATCGCTGCCTCCCGACGCCACTAGCAAAGTATCGTTTCCTTCGGGTGTGTCCTCATCATCTTCTGCCTCCACAAGTACTACTAACCAACTGTTTGATTTCGCCCCTTCAGCGAAAACGAAGCCAGAAGAGGCTCCTCTTCCCCCCTTTCCAGTCGCGTCAAAGTCCACCAAGCCTTTGGACAAGCCCGGCGAGGAGGCCCCCTTGCCTCCGTTCAAGTTGGCGCCGAAGAACAAGACTACAGCCGACCCTGCGCCACTTCCGCCTTTCCCAGGACCAAAAACAACAAACCTTGCCCAAGAAGCGCCGTTGCCTCCATTCCCCTCAAAAGAGATAGCAAGCACCGCTGGAGATGCACCTCTACCCGCAATTGGGGCGAAGAAGACAGCGAAGGCGGCCGAAGCTGCTCCCCTGCCTCCATTCCCTGGACAAAAGCCTACAAAGCCCGCCGAATCTCGATCATTGCCCTCTTTCACCCCGGCACCGAAAATTGGGAAAGAAGCGTCGGCTTTTCCTCCCGGAGAGACATCGGTATTCAAGTCAACTAAGCCAACTGGGCCAACACCAGCGTTTGTGGCACCAACGGGTCCGCCCCCACCCGACTCTGACGATAGCGACTTCGATGATGAAGAGGATAACGATGGAGAGGACGACAATGTAGAAGAAGTCGAAGGAGAGGACGATTACGCTGAGTCGGAAGGAAGCGGTGTTGACGTTGCCAAAGATCTCAGCCCAAGCACTACTGGTCTTGTAGAGACACCCGGTCTTACGCCTCAGAGCTCCTTTGGTGGAATGGCAAGCACGACTCCCGCGACAGCACAGCATGCACAGAATGCTAGCCGGCCTCTTTTCGGTGGGGTGGCTCGCAATGCGCCTCTTTTCGGCAAACCGAAGAACAACGCATCCCCTCGATCGCCTAGTCCTCTGCGCGGTGCAATTCCAAATCGCGTTATTCGCTCTGAGACTTCCAGGTCTGTCAGTGCTCCTGGCATGGCTTCGCAGATTCTTGGACATAAGAACACTCAATCACATCTCGCTCAATCCATTACGAGTCGCCAGCAAGAGAGCAGTGATTCGTTCCTGGTTCAGCAGCGAAAGCTCCGCGAGCAGCAGGAAGCAGCAGAGGCGAAGCCACTTGTTGACGAGGAGGATGAGGAAATTCAGAAGATTCTCTCTTCAGAGGTCGAGCCCACACTTGTACTGGATGAATTTATTGCCCATTCAAACGTGGCTCCTCCAGCGGAGGATAGCATTCCTGCTCAAGTTGAGGCTGTGTACCGTGATATCAATTCTATGATTGACACTCTTGGCCTAAATGCCCGAGCCATCAAGTCTTTCACGCGAGGACACCGCGAAACCCACGGTGAAGGACCTCGCAGTATGGCGGATCTTGAAGTTGCTGATGACTGGGTTCTTTGCGAGACAGATGACCTAGAGGATGTACTTTCGGGGGAGCTTCAAGTAAACCTCGAGAGTGCGCGGGTCCAAGATCTTTCCGGAAAGCTTGAAGCTTGCCAGGAGCTGGCTAAGGACATGCATCGGCTGCGTGCCAAGCAGGAGGATCTGAAGAGAATTATCCTCGCTCGAATGGACCCCGACCAGGCAGATGTTGCCCGGTCACTTCCACTCAGCGCAGAGCAAGCGGCCCAGCAGAGTGAGTTGCGCCGCGAATACACCAACTTCACGAAGCTGCTGGCCGATGCTGAGGAAGCTCTTACGCTACTCAAAGCAGGCATTGCCTCCGCGTCGGGTACTTCAGGCAAGGCGGCAGGGCACGGGTACACAGTTGACGCTGTGATCCGCACCATTCACAAGATGACCACCATGGCGGAGAAACGCAGTGGCGATGTCGATGTCCTGGAGACTCAGCTACGCAAGATGAAACTGGGTTCCGTCGGCCGCGAAGAATCACCGACGACGCCACAGCAGGCCCGACGCAGCCGCGTGCTCTCGCCAGAATTGACGCCGTCGCGCACAGTGCGTCAGAGCATCTCGTCCAACGGCGGTCTGTTGTTCGGCCAGTCGGTGCGCGCGACGCCGCCGAGGAAGAAGCTCAGCGGCTTCAGCAAGGAGGAAAAGGGCGATCTTATGGATAAGAGAGCCAGGAGGCAAGCGGTACTGGAGAAACTCCGGGGCAGCGTGGAGAAGCGTGGAGTCAACGTCTGGAATATGGAGGATGTTGAATAATACAATCATAACATGTACTGACGCGAGGGAGTTTTTCACGCGTTGTAGTTTAGACAACAGGATAATACAAATCCTCGGATTAGCGGATTATAGTAGGAATTTTATGCACTTGTTGCGATGTGCTCATCTTTGCTTGTCTATGGCACTGTCTAGTGATTGAATATTCAACCCTCCCTAACTGATTGGATTTGGTGAAACGCTGGCAGTAACGAGTACGTTGGGCGAGCGAAGCTATTTGCAAATGTATTAGGATATCAAGTTTGTCGTCATGCTAGTAGCCATGAAATTAGAGCTGATGTCCATAAACCGGATTATACAAACAGAAAGCTGGTGGAACTAGACCTGAATGGGGTCAGAGACTGTCATCGGCTCCTAGAACCAAATAAGTGGCACTTTGGCCGAATCTGGGCCTGTGGTCTAGGGGTATGATCCTCGATCCGCATCGTTGCGGCAGCTTGTTTTAGGTTGATTATTGAGTGGTCCGGGGTTCAAATCCCCGTAGGTCCATGTTTTCTTTTTTGCTTTCGAAAAAACTCCTAGCTCTTTGCTTAATCTCTCGTGAGATGGTATTTTTTTTTTTTGATCCACCTAATTGAGCAATTCTACCAAGTCATAAGCAGGTATTCAATTTATAAAGGTTTTTGTCTTTACCTTTCTGGGGTTGTTATATAAAACGATGGCATACAGGCAGGGTAGGGTGTTGGCGGAGTGCGGCACGTCCCCAGAAGTCGGAGACTGCAACTTTTTGGAGGGGCAGCCAAAAAATTTCCAGCTACCGCAACTTGCAAACTTGCATTCAAGCCAGTTCGCACACGATGGCTCCCTCACAACAAGCAGCATGGCGCAGTGCGCCCGATGCCGAGGAGCTGGAGCGTCGAAGAGTACGTGATTATTCTTTTTTTTGCATTGCGACGGCTGTGATGGCGGCAATGCTGCAACCCAAGCAGCTCTTGGGAAAAAAAATCCAAGTCGCCGAATGCGAGCTGCAGCACAGCCAAAGTAGCAAGATCTCTCACAACTAACCATGTATCCTAATTTATAGACTGTGAATATCAACAAGGAGACTGTGTCCAATATCAGCTCCATCGAATACCCTGGCCATGTCCCTGGCGAGGACGCCGCCTTTACAATCGAGCGCTTCCAGTCCGACTTTTCCGTCCACTTTCACCAAAACGAGCAGTTTGACGCCTCCTTTTCGCTCGTCGGCCTCGATGCCTCCCTTGCCAATGCGTTTCGCCGCATCATGATTGCCGAGATCCCCACGCTCGCCATCGAAAACGTCTTCATCGAAAACAACACGTCGGTGATTCAGGACGAGGTGCTGGCGCACCGCCTGGGCCTGATTCCGTTCAAGGGCGGCCGCGAGGGCCTGCTCGACTTTCTCAAGTGGCACAAGAAGCCCACCGACGGAGACGATGATGATAATGACGATTCCGCCGGCGGCTTTGACTTCGACACGGTGCGCCTCGAGCTCAACGTGACGTGCACGGCCAATGCCGACGCCGCGCCGGGCGAGACGGACCCGACCAAGGCGTACCATCACGCGCACGTCTACGCCCGCGACATTGTCTTTTCGCCCATGGGCGAGCAGGAGCGGTACTTTTCCGGCGCCGACGCCATCGCCCCCGTCAACCCGGACATTCTCATCGCCAAGATGCGCCCCAAGCAGACCATCAATCTGTCCATGCACATGCACAAAGGCATCGGCTCCGACCACGCCAAGTTTTCCCCCGTCGCCACCGCCTCGTACCGCCTGCTGCCGACCATTAAGATTCTCAAGCCCATTGTCGGCGTCGACGCGGAAAAGTTTCAGGGCTGCTTCCCGCAGGGCGTCATTGGCCTGCAAAAGATTACGAAAAAGGACGCGGTGCCCGGAAGCGGCCTCGAGGAGCATGTCGGCGAGATGCGCGCCGTTGTCGAGGACGCCAGCAAGGACACGGTCAGCCGCGAGTGCCTGCGCCATCCCGAGTTTGAGGGCAAGGTCAAGCTCGGCCGCCGGCGGGATCACTTCATCTTTTCGGTAGAAAGCACCGGCCAGTGGGACAGTGACGAGCTGTTCCTCGAGTCGGTCAAGCACCTCAGGGTCAAGTGTCAAAGACTCGAGAAGCAGGTCCTGAACATGGTGCGGTGATTTGGCGGCATATTGTTGGCGTATTTTTGTTTTTGTCTTGTTTCATTGCCTATTTGTTCCGGCGCAGAATTTGTAAAAGTCTACAAGGGATGCTTTCTTGCTATTTTCACAGTCTTAGATATATACCGATGCCTTGGGATCTTTTTGACAAAAAAACGTTGGCAGGGATACACACAAAACAATTGAAAAGATGATACCATGACTTGCAGTGCTGTCCTATTTGTTGTTGCTTGAAAAAGCCAAGCATGAAGGATGCAGAAGTACTCGCTTTCCCAAAACCGTCCTATATACTCCTCGCCAATCGTTAGTTTTAATTGTATATAGAAATCCCCAGGTTTCCATCTACGCCGAGAATTTGAGGAAAAAGTTAAACTCGAGTGGATACGCCGTGTCTGTGACGACGACCTGCTGCCCATCCTCGAGCCCGAGCTCCGTGAGCGTCTTTCCCAAGTTGGGCCGGGTCTGCTTCTCGAGGCCCTCGGGGGACTGCATGTACAACGTCTTTCCCTCGGCGCGTATTGAGGGTCGCTTAAGCTGGGCCTCGGGGCGGACGGCGAGCGAGTCAAGGAGGTCTTGCAGGGTGAGGCGGGGGTCGACGGGCAGCGGGCGGGCTTCGTTGCCGCAGACGGGGCAGTCGTCCTTTTTCTCGTGCTTGAAGGTGTAGGTATAGATGCCGTCGTTGCCCGAGTACATCATGTAGTTGCTGTCGAAGCCGAGGCAAGGCGCTGCCGTGGTGGCAATCTTGAAGGCCTCATTGCAGCAGGCGGCGGCGATGATGGCGTTGGTGGAGGCGATGGCGGGGATGATGTTCTTGATGGTGCCCTGCGTGAGAGCGTATGTGACGCCGGAGATGCCAAACTCTTGGGCGCGCGCAAGCGCCTTCTCGTACAGCCACGAGACATGCGCTGGGTCGTCCTTGTCTAGCTGGGGAAAGGGCTTCTCGCTGTCCCAGGCGATGACGTGAGCCCACTCGACGCAGTGCTCAGGCTGGCGGGGAATGGCGGCAAGAGTGCAGAGCGGAACGGCGGCACGCGGGGCGTGCATGTCGAGTTGACACTCGATACAAGAGGTAATGGTGGGGAGGATGACGCGGGCCTGGCCCTTGAAGCCCTCGGTGCCGCCGTCGACGAGGGGTTTGATGCCGTCGGCGTCGCCGGCCTCGTCGGCAATGGAAACGAGCATGGCGTTGATCCAGCGCCGCGCCTCAATGCTGTCGAGCCCGCACACGACGAGCTGAAACTGCTGGTAGAAGCTGGCGTCGAAATCTTGGATGCGGACGTTGTGCGCCGTGATGGAGACGCCTTTAACGCGCTGCTCGACGAAGCGCGCGGCCACTTCGGCCTTGTATTTGCCCACGTCGGAGCTGCGGAAAAGGAACTGTCTGTTGAGATTAGAAATGTCAATCGTGTCTGCGTGGCATGTATTAGTCGATGTTGCTGTTGCGAGTGGGCGGCGAGAACAGATAAGAGAAAGCGTACCCATATCTATAACGTGTATGTCCTTAAATTGGGACATGGCTAGATTCTTGAGAATTTCACATCCTAAGCCGCCAGCACCACTGAAGGCATCAGTTAGTCTCAGATGAGTCAAGGGCTGGAAGCAGCCGCTGATGATGCATACATGACTCTGAAAGACTGGTTAATCGATGTATTGCCTGTGAGGGGTCCGTCATGTACTCACAGGACCTTGAAGTTGCTAAACATTTGAAGAGACGGTTCTGAGATGGCATCGGGATCGGTATAGGGGCCCGCGACCTTGCGGATTCTGTCAATGTACTTCCTGCGTTGTCGTGAGCCTTGGTAATGGTGCGTGGGTGGTGTTGGCGCAAACAGCTTGGCGCATTCTGTCTTACCATCGCGCTGCCTCACTCCCGGCCGGAGCTGCCACGTCTGCAGCCATCTGTGCCAGTTCGAATAGGTCTTTCTTGTCACAAAATGTACAAGAAATGTGCGGGCTGCCAAAGAGTGTTGGGTATGATGTAGATGTAGATGCAGGATTTGAGATGAGGTTGATGGGAACTGCCTCCCGCTGCATGTAGTGAATCGACCGCCAGTGGAACCTAATCAGGCAGGCCCATGTATCTGACCCAAGCAGCCGGTGAGGCAAGGCGACTGTACAGGTCAAATGCACGTCATTTCTACTGTGAGATTGTATACGACAGGCATTTCCCCGATGTTAGTGTCTTTTTTTTTTTCTCATGCAGTCACTTGAAAGGCCAGAGGTGTGATCGAGCTCTATCTAACAGTGGCAAGTTGATGAGCAGACACATGTTGGTGGGGCGGCGTTTGACGGCTTCTACCTACCTACCTAAGCACCTAAGGTATAAACGTAATCCGTACCTTATATAGGGCCTAATTCACTAATTCACATCAATCAAGGTGTGGATCCGCATTTTTACTACAGACAACTACTATCCCATGGGGGGTCCATAGGTAGCGTCATTCCAACGGCTGCTTTTCAACACTGCAACACTGCAACACTGCAACACTGCAACAACTGCAACACCTCTAGCTTACTTCTTCCCGCTCTCAACAGTCCGTCCTTGCTTGTCAGCTGGTCAACTGTCATGACTCATCTTCTAGAACAGTAGCGCTGTTTGAAGTGGAAACCGCGCGCTATGGACGACTTTCTCACTCCGCTCAGCACCACATACCTCAAGGGCAGGGACGTGGTTGAGCCAGTCGACCTTGCACCAGCAGCCTTGAAGGAGAGCCATGTTCCCGTGGTCGTCACGAACTTGAACGAGGCTATTGAGACTCTCAAAAATCAGCCAGACTACGATTCTCTATTATCGACTCTCAAATTTTTATGCGACAATTCGGATACAGTCACGGACAGTCCTAGTCCTCAAAGCGCAGCTGTCGTCCATCTTCTCGTCACCGAAATCACTCCCAACTATTGGACTCTCCTGCTAGAATCTTCAACGCCTTCACCTGATGGCTCCGTCTCAGAAGACAGCGATGCTGGCCTATTGTTGCGTTTTTTCAGCAACCTCACAGGTCTCAAGGCCATTGTCTCTCATATTAACGCTCTCTTGGCCGAGGCTCGAAACAGGAGGAAGGATTTATCGTCACAAGACATTCATCTTCATCTTTCGATAATTCTGGATGTACTAGCCTCTCTTCTCAGAGGACCTGATTCTATTCGTCGAATATGGATTGCTTCGGTACAAAAGCTGCCCGATGCTGCAATGAGAAAAAGTCAGTCACAGACTTTGTACAGCTTGCTAGCGAGCAGCCGCGTGCTTTCAGTTGCTTCAGAGGCTTCGAATCTTATTGGACTCGACAAACTGAAAGACACGACCAAATATATTGCCGATGGTCCAGAATACGTCAGATGGATTGCCACCAACATCGCGTCCTGGGCAAAAGTAGCTTCAACGGATCTAGAATTTCGATCTTGCTCTGATGTCATGCAAAGAGCTATGTCTTTGGGCTACCAAAACGGCTTGGTCAAATTACTCGTCGATGAGCTTTTGCTTCGCTCCGACTCAAATCCTGCCACCTTCATACACGTCTGCTTCCAGCAACCTGCAACATTTAAGAAGGTCATGCAGATCTTACTGGACTACCTGGCGCAAAGATTTCTGAGCTCCATCTCTATCCATGAAGCTTCAGAGAATAAGATAGTTTCTTCCGTGGCTGGAATTATCAATACACTCATCCAAGATGATTCAACAAGGAGATCATTCCTGGTGTCCTGGTGCACGGCATCATCGGGCGCCGGCTTGGGCGACAACATCGGTATCCGCCGTGCTGTCTTAGCAGCTCTAGCAACAGATAAGGACACAATCACTTCAGTTCTTGAGAAGAGCCTCAACCAATTCGGCGATCAACTATACATTAAGCATGCCGCCATCCTACAGCAAGAGGTCCACACCCAGATCCTGCTGCTTAGCGCTGGATACGTCTCACGACTTTCTCCTATCAGGCTCACTATGCTTGTCAAATCTGGCGCTTACATGAGCAGCATCTCGAATCGTATTGCATCCACTCAAGAGATGACTCGGATTCTTGGCATGGTTGTTGGAGAGTCGCTGTCTTCTCTAGTTGACAAGGGCAAGAACAAGCTCGACTTTCACATGGAAGAAATGGAGACTGAAGAAATCGAAGCTCTCAAATCCCTGACCAGCATCTCGGACTCTGTTGGTCCTTTCAATGACTTGTGCGAAGCTCCTCCATCAATCGAGCTTACTTCGTCGCCCACTCCGTTGCAAAAGCAAATAGTGAAGCCGAAAAAGAGGAAGCCAGCACCAAAGACCTCGGCAGCTGAGCGACTACCCAAAGCAATCATTGAGGAATTGAATTCCTCTGAAGACGAAAACGACGACTTGGTACCTTATACTAAAGGTTCTGACCCCGAAGACTCCGACTCCGATGCAGAGCTTGTGCAGCGCAACAAGGTCAAAGCACCTGTATATATCCGCGACCTCATCACCTACTTTAGAGACGCCGAAAACTATGACAAGCAAAAGCTCGCGCTTCAGACAGCGCCCACGCTCATTCGACGAAAGGCAAACTACGGCACAGAAGTCAGGGATCATGCGGAGGAGCTGGCCAGCATCCTCGTTGGCCTGCAAGACAAGTTTGAGATGCAAGATTTCAGCGAAACGCAGCTCCAAGGCATGGTCGCTCTCATGGTCGCGCAGCCCCGAAGCATGGCGCCCTGGTTTGTAAAGACTTTTTTCGAAGGCGACTACAGCCTGTCGCAACGCACTGCCATCCTCATCGCCATCGGCCTCTCCGCCAGGGAAGTGGCGGGGTTCGACACGGGCACTTTTACCTCGCCCGCCAATTTTCCCTCGAAGCAGCTGCCGGAAAAGCTGCAGAAGTTGTACATGAACGGCGCTCGCGTGGACCAGACGATGATGGAGTCGGCGGCGGGTGGCGGCCACCTCAAGGCACTGCCCCCCAACGCCATCGAGGCCATGTCGCAGGCGCTCACCGCCGACTTTCTCGCACCGCTCGCCGCCACGGCCGCTGACTCGGCTGCCGGCCCAGACGTGCTCAAGCTGCAGAGCTTCACCGCGCGGTACACACGTCGCAACACGAGCATGGCCCGGCCCCGCGCGCGCGCCGTCCCCAACATCACCGCGTCCCTCCTCGCGCAGTTCTTCTTCGCACCCCTCACCGCATACTTCCAGGCCGCCCTGCGCAGTCACAGCGCTGCCGTCGTGCTGCACCCCGCCCTGCTTGCGCTGTACCTGCAGACGCTCGGCGTCGTTGTCGGCGCCGCGGGCCCCGCGACGCTCGCGCTTCCGCAGATGACAACCGAGCTCTGGGATCTGCTGCTCGGGGCGCGCGTGCGCGTTCTCGAGGCAGGTCTCGCCACGCTGCGCGGATGGCTCGTCGCCCTGGCGGCGCTGCTGCAGGCGAATGCTGACAGCGTCGGCGGCATGCGCCGGCTGTGCGAGGACCACGGCAGGGCCGTTTTCGAGACGCGCGAATGGGTCGGCGGCGTCTTTGAGCGCGTCCGCGGCGGCGGCGACGGCGAGGAGAGCGATGTCAAAATGCTCGCGGCCGGCGTGCTCATGACGCTGGGCGAGGCAATGGAAAAGTATCAGGCGCTACTGATGGGGGATATGGCAACCTTTTCATGAAGCAGGAAGCACTGGACAACCAATATGTTGGCTTGCCGTGTTTTTTGTTTATGTCAGGGTAAATAATACTACCATCACTATTCATCTCTGTGCATGTCCATATTGTGATACATTTCTCATCTGCAGTGTCATTTCACCACTTGTTTCTCATCACGTTTCGATTGCTCATCACCCAGCGATAATGCCTTGCCACCTACATGGCCCGATTCAGCCAAACTAAACTCGAATATAGAACGCCCGAACCAATACATAAACAATGGCCGTTGATAAAATAGACGCTCTTGATACTTGTACATGGAGGGGTAGTAGACGTACGTGCCTAGTGACACGCAGACTCGAACCATCTACGACGCCTCACGAGAGGGTTCCAAACGTATTGTGCTGCCGCGTCGGATGGGAAGGCCAGCAAGGTAATTGTTGGCAAAGTTTAAGTGGTCGCCGAGGCTCATGGCCATGCGACGTAGCTCGTACTTGACGGCGTCGGTATGGGCCTGCCCCTGTAGCACCTGCGGTGCAGGGGCGTCGGGCAGCGCGGGAAGCCCTGACGTCGAGTCGGTCAGTGAGCTTTGCGAGAGGGTGCGCTGCTCTTGACGCTGCTGCTGCTGCTGCTGCTGTTGCGGCGCCGGCTGCGGCAGCGGCGGTGCGGCCGGCTGAAAGTGCGAGGACGGGAAGCCGCCGCCGCCACCGGTTTGTTGGGGTCTGACGAGAGCCGTCTGCGGTGGAGGCGTCGTGGACTCGGGTTCCGTGTCGGCAAAGTCACTTAGGGAGTAGGGCCTTGCACTAGTGCTCATACTGCCGCTGCCGCCGCTACCGTTGGCGGTCGGCCGGTCGCTCGAGGTAGAGGCTTCGCGCTTGTGCATGCTGAAGCGGTCGTCGACGGTAGTAATCGACTCGTGGCCGCCGGTGAAGGAAAACTCGGAGCCGTCGGAGACGTAGATGGAGGGCTCGCGCGTCGAGCCGGCGGGCATCGTGTACAGCGAGGCGTGCTTCTCCAGCTCAAAGGGGTTGTTGTTGGGCCCGCCCATCTCGGAGCCGCTCATGGAGCCCACGTCTGAGTGCGACGTCGAGGGCCGCGTGGCGTCCATGACGGGGTCGGCGAAGCTCATGTCGAGGTCAATCAGCGAGCCGACCGAGGCGCGGTTGTCAAAGTGCCCGTGCACGCCTACGGCCATGTCGTGGAAGCCGGCAGAGGGTAGGACGGGCTCTGTCGGGCGGTGTACCAGCGCTGGTCGCCCGCTGCCGCCCGAGTCGGGCGCGGCAGGGACATTGTTGAAGGGGAAGCGAAACACTTCGGGGTTGGCCGATGCAGGCGGCGCGGCCATGGTTGGGAACTTCCAGTCTTGCGTCCTCCGGTTGTTAGCGCCGAGGTCGGCAGGGTCGCTGAGAGGGCCTGGAGTGTAATGAGAGTCAATGAATTCGTAGTCGAGAGATACGCGTGAGTCGCCGGGCCGCGCCTCACCAGCACGCATAGTGGTCATGTCGACAAATTGCGATAGGTCGCTCCCATGTAGCGAAGCATCCAGATCGATGAGGGATTCTCGCACGTCCGTTGCCTGCACACTATCGTCTCGCAATGGCAAGTCTGATCCGTTGCCAACAACCCCTGTCGCTGGCTGTGGAGGTGGCGGCTGGAACATTCGTCCATAGTATGCTCTTGAATTGTCCTCATAGTTAGATAGTGTGTTTGGATCGAAAATCTTTTCTAGGGGCGCTTTGAACGCAGCAAGCTGTTGTGGAGGTGGCCGGCGCCTCGACTTTGGCTTCTGCGGCTTGGCCGTGTCGAATTCGAGTTGTGCGTACTCGACGTCTGACCCGTACACATCGTACACATCCTGCGCGTCGCCGTCGTTCAGAACCTGCTGATCAAAGGCTGCTGTTGTGCTAAAGTTCCAATCCTCGTTTGCCATGGCGGCGGGTGAAAGGTCGGCCAGACCCTGTGCGCCGCCGGCTGAGAAGAGTGACCGACGGTCGCCACCCTGAGCCTCCCAGAGCTTGAAAGCCCGGACCAAGTGTGCGAGGCTTGTTGTGGGATATTCCTTCTCAGTGTTCAATATATATCTGTGGCGTTGTATTTGCTCAACAGTTGGCCGCTTGCTCGGGTCATGCTGCAAACAGTATGCAACTAGATCTTTAAGACCCGCAGAGTACTCCCCTTCTAGACGGGGGCAATGCTGCTTTAAATGTGTGCCTAGTTTGGAGAAATCCATTCCAAAAGCCACGTTTGGAGGTAGACCAGAGGCAATTTCATAGACCATGGAACCAAAAGCCCAAATGTCGACTTCAACACCATACGACGCTTGCTCATCAAAAAGTTCAGGCGCCATCCAGTGAGGTGTGCCAATAAAAGTTGTTCGTTTGTCAAACTTGGTCTCGATAACGCCGGCAACTCCAAAATCGCAAAGCTGCACGTCGCCAACCTCGGTGATGAGAACATTGGCGCACTTGAGATCTCGGTGAATAATGCCCTGGCTGTGCACCCAGTGAATGGCCTCGGCGACCTCGCGAAGGATGGGAATGATCCACTTCTCCTGCAGGCCTCCAGGTGCAGTTGGTCTCATGAGCGTGGCGACGCTGCCTCCGGCGCAGTACTCGGTCACCATCCACATGGACTGCCCGACAGGCAGTGCTTCGAGGACATGGTTGATGTTCTTGGCGCCGCTGTCGCTAAGTCGCTGCAGCGCGCTGATTTCCTTGAGCAGATCGCTGTACGTGTCGGCCAATTTGGGATTGACCGTGTCGCTCTCCTCAATGTCGATGATTTTGATGGCGACGAGGCGCCCCGAGGCGAGAGACTTGGCCTTGTAGACACGGCCAAAGCTGCCCTTGCCAATGAGCTCAGACAGCTGATACTGGGGAATCTCCTTTCCGGACTTGTTGCAGGACTCAATGACTGCTTTTTGCATCTTCTTGGCATCCTCAAACGCCTTTTGCTTGGTGGCCGAGTAGTCCGGGCCGCGGACCTGCAGTGAGGCCATCATGGTGCGAGTTGGGCGGGCCTTGGGTAGGCACTGAGACCAATGGCGCGGACGGTGCTCAAATATGCAGTAGAGGTAGTGTGCGCGGCTCACATCATTACTGCCGGACGTTTGAATAGAGATGCCCGCCTCTTGGGATCGGTCAAAGTCTGAACAGTCGTTCTGCCGTTTGTAGCAGTGAAGGACACGGAGGTAAAGTATCAGAACCAGGAGAGGGATAATGCTACGCGACCAATGGCGAGGTTTAGCCGGGGTAGCACTGATGTCACTAGAAGCCGCTAAAAAGGGCATTGAAGAGGTGGCCATGGGCGCTAAATTGCTTGGCTTACAGGGGCCAATACAGTGGATGCGCCACATTGCAATGCCTGCGCTTGACGGACACCAACATGAACACGAATAGGTATCTACATACATAGATAGTAGGTGGCAATGAGCTCCAATTTGCGCAACGTGGCCGTCTATCATATTTTCGTATATATGTTTCAACTCGAAATATTTACAACTCAAACCCTCAGCGTCTAAAGGTGTTCTCCAACGCGAATCCGTCTCCATCCTTGCTCGAGGCCGCAAAGCTCTCCTCCGATGTGGCATCAATTGCAGACTCATCCAGAGCCCCATCCTCAGCCTCCTGCTCCTGCTCTTGCTCCTGTTCCTGCTCCTGCTCCAGCTCGCGCTCCTCCTGCCCTCCCTCTTCCGCCTCGTCGTCGCCAACCTGCGTATCCGGCACCAGCCTAGCGAGCATCGTCTCCACGCGCGACACGGCCTTTTCCATGGCCCGCAGGCGGTCCTCGAGGCTCTCCGACTCCTGTTCGGCCGCCGAGAAGGAGCCGCGCAGCTTCCTGCGGATCCCCGGAAACGTCGAGTCCCTACGCGACGGCTTCCGCACCTCGATGCTGCCCGTCGTGTTTTGGCGCGTAAACTGCCGCCGGATGAGGTGGCGCGTCATGGGGTCATCGACGGTAATGTCGTCGCGCACATCGTCAGGCGGCGGCTCGTCAAAGACGGACCGGATGTAGCGGCCGGCGGACAGCTGCCACTTTTGCCAGAACCACTTACCGTGCCCCTTGGCCGTCTCATCGCCGCCCGGATTGTACTTGTAGTCGTGGTGGTCCCAGGTGACGCGGCGCTCGGCGACGGCGATGATGAGGAGGAGTGGCAGATTGACGAGACGCACGGCGGCCACGTGGATCTTGTGGAACCAGCGCGGGCTCACAATGAATTTGAGCGGGAGAAAGATGAAGACGGCCAAGATATTGAACGGCGGTTGGTAGGCAAAGATGGCATCCGCCTTAACGCCCTCAAGAGTGAGCACTGCTCGTCGAAACTGTATCTCGGCGGTGGCGTTGGCCGAGATGATGCTAAACGTGTTGGAGAGCATCGAGACGAGAATCGTCAGGAACAGCGTGTTGCCGAGAAAGGCAAAAGCCACCATAAGGCTCGGCCCCAGCAACCAGTGAAACTCGGCCGACCTCTGAATACCGGTTCCGTCGAGGCCGAACCAGATGAAAATCATCCATTTGGAAATGGTGAGCCAGGGATGCGCACCCTCTCCGAGCCACAGCAGCGACAGCAAGAATCCAAAAAAGCACCAGGCCGAGAGCGCTGTGAGAAGAAAGAAATCTGCCATCATGGAACGCAAAGACAGGAAGACGAGATTGTCCGAGAGCAGGGTAAAGGCCAGCCGGGGCACCAGCAATGGCGCAGCGAGAGCGAGAACATCAAACGACTGCTCGCCCGGGCCCGGAAGTCCAGTGCGGAAGCTGTGCACCCGCAGGATGAGGTATACGCTGTAGATGAAGACGAAGCCAACGTCCAAAAACGACCAGAGATTCTGCGTGTACACGTTCCATCCGTGGGCAATCAGCGTCGCAAACTGATCTAGCCCCCATCCAAAGGCATACACGGCAAAGAGGCACTCGGTCACGGTCAGCTTGTCCTTTTCGCGCATCACCATGAGCGCCGTGTAGAGGGACAGCAGAATGGCAAACTGAATCGACTCGAGAATGGTCCTCGTGCGGGGTACAATCAAACGGTACTGGTTCAGCAGCGGTGAGCCGCGCGGGTCGTAGAGCGAGATTGGCTTGCGCTTGTAATGGTCGGGGATTATGTCCCACTGGGTCGAGGGCGTGTAGATGATGCGGCCGTCGTAGATGGCGGCAACGACCTTTTGGCACGTCGTCGAGCTGAGAAAGTGCTTGCTCTCCGTCAGAATGGCCACCTCGAGCGAGGGCAGCGTGCGGTGATAGCCGCGCCATATGCGCCGCTCGGCCGCGGCGCGCGTCGCCGCCGGCGCGTTCTGGTACGGGTCGAAGCCGGCAACGAGGACGTGCGCGAGAAACAGCAGTCCCTCGCTGCCGTCGTGGTCCTCGCCAAAGCGTCGCAGGATGCGTGTGGCGATAATTTCGCAAAGCGTGGCGCGCGTCCAATTGACATTTTGGCGATTGCTCGAGTACGACTCCTCGTCGAGGAACTGGGCGCGGTTCACCAGCAGGCAGTACACTGTTTTTCACGATGTGCCATCCATTAGCCTCGTCCTTCCTGTGATTCTTTCTTATCTGTCTGATATCCCCAGGTAAAACGTACCGATCGAGAGATCGTCCAGCTCGTAAAACTTGTCGACGAGCGGCCGCACGACGGTAATGTTGATGCGCACATCGCGCAGCTGCTCCAGACTCAGGTAGTCTTCGACGACGCTGGTAATGTCGCGCCTTATACGGTGAATCGTCGTGTACACGGGCAGGTGGCTGTGCGGGTTGGTGACGCAGCTGTAGAGACCATCATCGTCGCCGTGGTCAGTGTACATTCGGCGGAGCAGCGGCCGGCGCTGCTCCTCCTCGGGCGACGGCGGCAGCGTAACATGTCGCCGCGTCGGTCGTTGCGTCATGCTGTGTTTTTCTTTTTTTTTTTTTTTTTTTCCCTTTGATCAATGTGGGAACCGGATTATGCGTGACTCGGGAGAAGGATCGATGGTGGTTTTGGGATCGGCCGCAGCTCTCCAGTCGTGTCGTAATCTAGGTCCGAAGAATCGACAAGCACTAGATGCCGCCGTTTACGTCTCGGCTACAAATAGCATATTGAAGTGCGTAATAGGATGAGAAGCGAGTCCTTGATGGGCGATGAAGCTGCACGAGTAAGCTTGGCATAAGTTGGAGGCACGCCCGAGGACTGATTGCAGATGCGTGGGTCAACGGGATGAAACTTGGCGCTGGTGAAGTCGAGGCCGAGACCGCTGTGGTGTGGCGGTCGTGGTTTCGTCGTCAGTGGCGCACGTCCAGTCCACCCATCCAGTACACCCACTGTAGCTTGATCATCGATCGCATCTCGTCCTTGCATGACTTGGCAATCTGCAATAATTCTGGTTCACTGGCAGCGCAAAATGGTCATTTTATTAATCACACTTCATCACTAACTGTCTTTGTGTCTCTTCAATCACCTTTTACAAGAATTGCTATCTCGGCATTTTACAAGCGCGGTTTGTCTCCCTTTTGCGCCAGTTCCGCGAGCTGCCACCCAAACTCAGCCATGGGTATCCGACCAGCCGCGTACGCCTGCGCCTGGGCGCTGCTGGCCTGCCGCACCGCGTAGCGCGCGGCGATGCCCTGCAGGACGCCCGCGATCTTGTACAGGCTAAAGGCCGCGCCCCAGTTGAGCTCCGGCAGCGGGTCGTAGCCCGAGGCCGCGGCGTACCACTGGATGATCTGGTCAGGCTGCGGCAGGCCGGGCGTCTTGCCAGGCAAAAAGGCGGCCGTCTCGGCGTGCGCGCCGCCCGAGGCCCGCGCCAGGTAGAACTGCGTGAGAAAGTTGCAGACGTCGGAGAGCGGGTGGCCGATGGTGGCCATTTCCCAGCTATTATGGCGAATGCTCGATTAGCAATCATCATTGGATACGCCAGAACAAGGGCGTTGGGCGATACTCACTCTAGAATACCGATAATGCGCGGCTCCGTCTTGTGGAAAATAATGTTGTCTATCTTGTAGTCGCCGTGGATAAGTGTCGCCCTGTCCTTGGGCTGCTGCTTGACGTCGCTGAAAAAGGCCATAATCTCCTCAAAGTGCGGCAGCTGGCCGACCGGCTCCTTGGTCTCGACGTCGGCGACTTGAGCCTGCATCTCGCAAATAGTCGTCCACGTCTGCACCTGTCTGCTATAAAACCCCTTGTGCTTGCCAAAGCTCTCGAGGCCGACTTTGCGAAAGTCGACGCTGTGGAAGCGCGCAAGCGTCTCAATAGCCGCCCTCCACAGTGCCGTGCGCTCCTCGGCGCCGACGCCTGGCATGGTAAAGTCCTCAAAGATGCGGCCGTCTAGAAACTCCATGATGTAAAACGGCGTGCCGATGATGGCCTCGTCTTCGCACAGCGCGTACGCCTTGGGCACCGCAATATCCGTGTCGCGCAGCGCGTGGATGATGCGGTACTCGCGGTCGACGCGGTGTGCCGTCTTGGAGATTAGCTTGCCCGGCGGCTTCTTGCGCATCACAAATTTGCCCCCGACGGCGTCGGTGATTTGGTACGTCGGGTTGGACTGGCCAAAGCCAAACTGAACGGGCGCGTCAGCTATGAGCACACCTCCATGAGGCTGAGTGAGACATACCTGCTTGAGCTGCAGTGGCGTTTTGATCTCAGGCACATTCTCATCCACGTACTTGGCAAATGCCTTTTCGTCAATTGGTTGTCTGATTTTGCCCGCCATGGTGTCCAAAGGCCCTGCGGGACAGAAGAAGATGGTCAGATGCGAGATTCAAGTCGGACAAGGCGGGGTGGGCGTGATGAGAGACTCTCTCTACTCGTGCGGATAGCCGTTACTTTCACGTGCAGCCTCTGCTTCGTACGGCGGCTTGCTAGGTGCGTCAAAGATATCAAAGGAGCACCACCGAGGTAGCAATCGACGACAAGAGCCTTGCAGAAATGATGTCGGAGTCAAAATGAGCTCGCGCGGCCAGTCCAAGGTAATTGGAGAAGGCAGCCGAGGCTCCTGGCCTCTCCGCGGGAAGCCATTTGGCCCCACAACTTCCCCCAGATTGCAACGCACTGCGGCCCCGAATCCTGTTTAGCCGTACCCAAAAGCCTACCTATAACAAGAGCCGGTGAATTCTGCAAAAAGTCCGTCTCCCCACACCCTCACACTCAATACGTCCTGCGTGTTAAATTGCATCATGTAATAGCACAGGGAGCTTATCAATATCATGTTGCTGTAATGTCCGAGACGGAAGCCACTATGCCAGGTCTCGCACAGTACAACATTCTGGCACCAACTTGTACTGTACCATGGACATCCTCACAAAATACAACATTTGGCATCTATTCAGGCCGAGACCTAGTCAAAGTACACAGAGTCAATTTCACAAAAAGATCAAGTAACTAGGTAGGTAGTGTCCTTTCCGAGGCGTGTATCCGGTGACGGACCAAACCAGCCATTGCTTTCTAAAACCCGCCACCCAAACAAAAAAATCAAGTTCCCATTGCTCAAACGCAAAATCAAGTCGATAAGAAGATAGTTCATGTGAGTTGGCCGGCACTCAACAATTGCTCCGTCGTTTCCCTGCGCTTATGAAGCGGCCATTCCAATTCCGTCCTCGTTGCCCATCACTCTTTGCAAGTTCTGTTTCTCTCCTCCGTTCTTCATTTTCTGGCCGCCCAAAACATGGCCGTCTCTGTTTGCTCCAGTCCCGGTAATGCCAAGTCACATTTCCGAATCCGGGCCAACAAAACACGGTAAGATAAATAGGAGGGTATCCTTCGCATCAAAGCCCCAAACATCCCATCCATTCGCCAACCTGTGGGACACGCAGTTCACACAAGATTTTGCATCCAACACGATACCGTAGCCCATATCCAGTCACCGTGAACCAAGAAAAAGTCCCAGTACGCCTAGCCAGAGTTCGTGCGCGGGCAGTGTAAGCAAATCGAAAGACCTGGCAACGATAAACCAGCCAATAAGTCGTTTCGGGCTTTCCGGTAGCAGGTGTATTCCATATGCCACGAAATCTGCGGGTTGCCGAAATGCTGGTCTGTAGACAAAAGAAACGATGGAAAGAACATGAGGCTGAGCAAAAGATTGATGGCCTCCCTGCAGCATTCATAAATCGTCACAAGTACGTGCAACAAGTCCAGGCACGTATCTGGTTGTCACGTACAGCCGGTTCATCGGCTGCTTTCTGCTGCGCCTCTAGCACTCTCCTCCCCTGCAGCATCATTTTTTCGAGGCTTCTTGCTTTGCCCATCCGGTGCGGATTCTGACTTGCGCTTAGCACCAGCGCCTGCACCACTAGGTTCTTTGGCCTCATCCGCATCCCCTTCGGCTTCTTCAGGGCTATCCTCTGGACCTTTTCCATCCTTTTCGAGGGCAGCAACCTCTTCTGTCGTCAGGAAGCGACCACCGGGTCCACGAGGTCTCCGCATAGCGTGGTTGTGGCGTGACTCGTGGAGGTAGGGTCGTCTTCCCTTGGAAGTTAGTCGCAGCTGTTCCTCGAGTCTTTGGCGCGCGACGCGACGTTTCAGAATTCGGTGAAATTGCTTCGCATTGACGTAGAGCGGCGACTCTTCGACGCCACTGGCAGGCATTTCGGGGGACTGCGGATGAGCCATGGTCATTTGCGCCTGAGGGACACCGGGCCGGCCCATCATGGCTTGCGGATTGGGGACTCCAGACTGGCTGACTCGGCGCGGTATTTGATTATTCATTCGAGGAGAGGGACGGCCATCCTTTTTGCCTCCCATTCGAGGAGAAGTGTGAGGCATGCTGGGGTCGGAGTGCATGTAGGGGTAATTTGAGCCAGATGCGGCGGCAGTGGCAGCCATGGCGGCAGCTTGAATGCCGTTCATGTTGTAGGCGACTGGCTGCATGCCTTGTTGTGGCACGCCATATTGAGGTTGATACATGTTGTGGGTTTGGAGCTTGGACCAAAACTTGGACCGATCTCGTGTGTTGACACAGCAGGTGGATGTACGACTAAGATCGATTGTGCGACTTGTCGACGCAGCGGCTACTTCGGGAGTAGAGGGCGGCGGTATATGAGGCGCTGCTGGTGGCGTGTGGCTAGATAGAGTACCAAGAAAGCGCACAAATCTACAAACGGCGAGCAGGTTAGCGAGTTACATGACGGAATCGGTGGTTAGGCACAGATAGCAAGACAGCGAACGCGTCGATGGTTTGCGATGGCATTGCCCAAGGTGTTGCTAGCGGGTTGTGGCGGTGGTGGTGGTGGTGCCCCTCCTATTGATGCGCTGGCAAAGGTGGTGCAGAGGTGAGAGGCACTGCAGGACGGCGGGGGAAGGTCAAGCACGCTTTCAGGAGCGGGAGGGGTTGAAATGGCGATGGGAAACCGGCGCAGCTTGGGCCAGGGTGCAAGGAGGCCCGATGCAAAGGATGGTGGCATTGGGCCGCTTGTTGGCCCAATAAGCACAAAGGCGCGCCAGGTGCTCATCCGCAGCTAAGACAGGCGATGAAGGGAAAGAATTGTGCAGCGCATGTGGCCGGGGAAGGGCAGCCCTGGCGATGCTCGACGCGGCATGATCTTGTCGCAACAAGAGGTGCTCGTGCAGCGAGGTTGCATCGAGTAGGCTAACGAGCGAGTCGACTTCCTCGGGGGCCGGCGGTGCCAACGGCGCCAGGACGGGCTGTGCGCAAAGGCCGTACAAACGGTGGTGAGGTCACGTCGTGCAAAGCCAGGAACTTACACAACAGCGCTGTACAATTATTGACGGACAAGACCAGACGAAGAGGGTGCAAGGGCTGGGGTGAGGCGCAACTGTGAGCTTCTATTGTGTTGGACCGCTTGCAACAAGGCCAGGAAAAGCGCGCAGGCCAAGTGCGCGGCGCGAAGCGAGGCCAGAGAAAAGAGAGAGGGAGAGGATGGAGTCAAAGTGTGAAGATGATGGAATTCGGCAGAGTCGTTGAACGGCTTGAAGAGGGTCGCACGAATATAACAAAAAGGGCAAAAGCTCACCTTGAAGCTGTGCGACGGTCGGATGTTGGGCCGTAGATTCGCGCGTCGCAGCGGCTCACGTTCAAAAAAAGGCAGGAAAAAAGCGTGATTTGCTGGAATTCGAGGATGGAGTTGGTAATGTCGAGGGTAGATCAAGGAGACGCCGCAGACGCGCCGTGTCAGCTGACAATAGAGAATGATCCAATGGAAAGGAGAAGCAAGGCAGCGACAAAGACGATGATAGGCCTCTTGTATCGCGAAGATGCGATGGCCTTGAGAAAAGACGCGGCGCACGAAGCTGATTTGCTGGGCTGGGAGGGGGCCGGTTAGCGGATGGAAGAAGGTGGTTGGTGCGTGAAGAGTGAAAGGAGCGAGTAGGTTTTGAGGTTTCAGCGGGCACGGTGGGCTGCAGATGGTACTAGCAGGGGGGCAGCAAGAAAAAGAGAGGCAAGGAATCGGGTTGCCGCGGAGGGTTGAGAGCTGTAATATTCTCGTCAGTTCATGTAGCTTTTGATGCAGTGTTGTTGTTTTTCTTTTTCTTTTTTTGTGAATTTTGTTGATGTTGAGGCTGAGTATGCGATGACTCGACCAGTCTCCAAAACGGCATTATAAGCTCTTTGTTGCCAGCTGCCTATTTCCAGCTGCGAGCTGCCCACCTCGGAGCTTCCACACCCACGCCGCACTCAAGCCGGCGCATTGCCGAGCTCTGCCTGCGCAGCGCGGAATCACTTGCCCGCAGCGGAAACTGTCGAGAGAGGGGGGCGGAGACCGGTCACGGCGCAAACACAAAATCAAAAAGAATAACCAAGGAATGAAACTCGTCCAAAAATCAGGAGCGAATCAAGGAAGCAACTGGCAACTCACAAGCAACGATTACGCATCACTCTCTCGATGCTCCAAAACACTGCACGGCGCCCGTAGCTGCCGACACCAACTCTTGGAATCCAGCCCAGTGCCAGTGCTGTTGCTCAGCACCTCAGGCAGCTTTGATAGGCAACAGGGCCTCCTCGGACCAAACTCGGGTGTGGAGCGGGACACCTCGCATCCTGGTTGGCCCAGGGTTCCGCCCGTTGGTAGTCCAATGCTGTCAGTACGTACCTTTATGCGTGTGTACGGCACTGCTGCTTTGCGTAAAGCTAATTCGTCCAGATATCCTATTCCCCTCGATCAACTCGTTTTAATTTCCGACCGCGCGTATGCGTTGTCCGTGTGCTTGTACAGCCAAGTGCTTCCTCTGTGCAACCAGTGAGTGCTTTTGGCCGTTGGCAGCAAAGAAAGTAAAACAAGAGGTGGGCAGACTTGATTGGACCGTGCAAGAGGAGAAAACCAAAATGCCTCAACATGATTTGAGGGATGGGGGGCCACAGTTTTTCAAGACCTGTGACTGGCTGATTCAGCTCGCATGTGGGGCTACACGAGCCACTGCCTCTGCCAAGGCCCCTCATTGGCTGTCTGAGGCTGAGCGCCGTGTGCCAAGTAAGTTGAGTGCCTTTGTTGTTCCACTTTTTAATACCTGACCGACCGCTCCCAGCTGGCAGACTGTTCCGCCAGCTGCCAACGCATATTGTGAACTCTGTTTACTCTTGCACTTGAACACAAAACTGATCAATTCGTCACGAGGTTCTCTCAGCTCGCTCGCTCATCTTCACGTTCAAATTTACTTTGCCCGCAACCTCTTGTCCAGAAAGAGCTGATGCATACTCTGCTTGCCTGCCTACCACACCTCATCTCCCCTCCCACCGCCACGCTACACCACGCTACACCACGGCCGTCCAGCCCGTCATCCTACTGTGCTGCAATGTCAGAAATCTTCTGGCGAGGCACAAGGAACAGGAAAAATGATACTCGTGACAAAACAAAGATGCCAAATTCGATGCTCTTCCGCCTCGCAAAGCATGGCTCCCTACCGCCATTCGATGAGCTAAAATTACTGGGTAGCTTGCAAGTGCTAATAATAACTACCTTGCCCGGCTATCATGAGCCTGTTGCGTTGCTGGCATTCACTGTTGAAAAAAAGCAAATGATCCCGCCCCTTCAGGGAGCGATCGGCGTGGTGCCTCCGGGCGTGTATACCTGAATGGTTTTCTGAGCTGGCACTTTCTAATCAATCTAACTAACGCGGCAGTGCTGCACACCATCTTGCGTAAGTTGCCATCACGCATTAGTACGTCTCATCGCCAAAATCGCCCGCCAAGTACCACCCAACCGTCGCTGCAAGCCTACGCGGGAGCCCAGGCACTGACCCCCCTACGGACCTGGCATCATGCCTAAAAAAGGGTTCAATTCTGTGTCGCGCCGTGACGATGCGTCGTGGGCTTGGGCTTCTATCACCACCCATTCGTCGGGCTCAGCCGTTGTAGTCAAGAAGACTGTTCCATCCAGCTCAACATGCCCAATCACGCTACGCAATGTGAAGCGCGAGAAACTCCGTTCCGATAGTAGCCTTCATTCAGGCAGTGACTGCAGAACGTCATCCTGAATGCCGAGTCTCCACTCTTGGGCAGCTGCGAGGTGATGCCTCCGCCGCGTACTTTGTGATGCGATGATAACCTCGCCGATAATACAATGCTTCGCCCGAGACGACTTGTCAAGCGACTCTCGGTATTGAGATGCATACATCTCTCCTTTGGATTTCTTATCTGTGCTTTATACCTCGCCACGTGAGAGGGTCGAATGCGTGCGTTCCTAGAGATATGGCGGGCTCTGGGTTCAGCAGACGTGGCTGGCCAGTGGCTCAAGATGCTTTGTAAAAGTCGGTGAGCCAATATTGGTTGGCGCAGTTTCGCCCCCAATCATTGCGTGAGGTCATCCGACACAGCGCGAGAAACTGCGACCGTTTCTGGTGGCTACTCCTCATCAAGATCTGTCTGTTTTCGCTCAAGTTGAGCGTGGATAGAAAGTGCGCTGTATTATCCTTGCGGCTCTTTTGTCTGCTTCTGCGGCAAACTAGTCCAAACTAGCTGTCATACAGACAGCTGTCTGCAAAGACATTTCCGCATAGTTCGCGGCCGCATTGTCCGTGTCAGCTTCATCGTCGATGTCAAAAAAAAAAAAAAACACGGAGCCATCAGACGCAAACTGCCCTAAGAGCAAGGACAAAACTCAATTGCCCTGGCTTTCCCAAGAACTCTGGCCAAATCCGCCAGACAAAATGCGTGCAAGTGTTCTAGGGTACGTCAACTACGACATGATGATCGTGACTCGAACCGCCCTGGCTTCCCAATTCGGCGCTGGCCCTCGACGCCATTGGACATGTTGCTTGATAGCCCATGGCCCATCCATGGACCAATTATCACCACATCACAGGCTCCATCGTCCAGTCTGTGTTCCCCGCATTTAGTTTCGCATTGCCATGAGAGCCTGATCAATTAGCGGCCGACCTGCCTATGTAGCCGAATTATGACCACTCTCTTGTCAGAACAAAGACGTGCAATACAGGGCTTGAAGAAAAATCTTTGATGATTCTTTTTTTTTGTTCAATACCCACTTCTGTATGCCTTTGCAACTATGCTTTTGTAACCATGCTGTTTTAATACAAATTACATCCGCGGTTGTGATCTTCTCGAAAGCGGGACGTGATCTAAAGGTTACTATAACCGACATCAAGCCAATAAGGCGAGGGGTTATTAGAGCAGTATGCTCAGGATGAAACAATCGCGTTCAATCACTGTTGCAAGAAGGGTCGCAGACAATGCTGTGACTAGCGGCTAAGTGCTAGTTGAGAATAAATAATCGGATCAATGGTCCTGACTGATGTTGGAGACAGCCTTTAGGCTCTAGGTAAGAAAATGTTCCATCGTTATTTTTTTTTTTTTTTTATGTGGTGCGTCTCAGATTGCATAATTGGACCAGGCTCAAATGTCGCAATGACTGTCGCTTATTAGGCGATTTTATGCTCAACAGGCACAGAGGCTCTAGGACGAGCCGACCGAACACCATTACTCGAAACAGCTATTATGGGCAAGCTTTGAAGACCTGCTTACCGGGACCGATATTTAAACGGCCAACACTACACAGACAGGAGAGAGCTAGAGAGTGCTTACAGGGCCGGATCCCACACGCACTTTGGCTTCTTCTCTTTGCACATCTGATAGGCGCCATTGCGCACCTGGACACGCTTCAGCCCGACGTACGTTCAGGTCTGGCCTTACACATGTATAATGAGTTAATTTTGATTCGCTATATACATATATATCCATGTATATATGTATGTGTATTTGAAACTAGTTTATTTCCGCTGGGGCTATCGCTACTCCCTTCTGAGGCTAAATGACACTTGGAAGGCCACTATTCTGGTGCTATCTGCATCTAACATCAAGAATTTGCACAGTAATGTTGTCCATCAGGAACCATTAGTCGGGGATGAGAGAGTTGAAAAGTTGTTCAGGGGCGCGTTAGAGAAATTGAGCAATGATTTTGTATCGGGGCTGACAAGACCTTGCAAGCGCCGGCAGGTATCCTCTTCTTCAACGATATCTCCCTCGCGACATGAAGAATGAGTATGCGCATAATCGAAAGAGCCTTACGCAAGCAGACCGCGCTGAACATCGCCGGGCGCAGGAGGAGGAAGATTGCCGAGGTCGGCGTCTTTTGTCACTTCCTTGGCCTTCGGCACGTCCACTCCCAGTCTTTCGAAAAGCCGCTCAAGCTCTGGATACCTCTTGATGGCAAGCCCGACATAGTTCAGATTGAGGCCTTTGCATAGCGATTTTATCTCGTCTCCATACGTGCCCTCTAGCAGCCTTAGATCCGCCGTATCATGATATTTAGCTCGGGTAGCAGCAGCACGAAGCTTTCCTTTGAACAAGTAGAATGTCGGGAGAAAGTTAGACGTGCCATCTCCTAGAGCTGCGCCACGGATGGCCATGCTTTGAAGCGGCAGGCTTGCCATCGAATGCTCGGCTCCTGCCATGTCTCTCATTTAGAGATGCTTGTTCGATCAGCAAAGGCATCTACTTACCTGGAAATAGCTCGCAAAAAATCTCCACCAAGACTGAGTTGCTTTTATTTGGCTGATTGGACCAGAGGAAGGCAACATAGTCTTGGCGGCTCTGTGGCACGGCTTCAAATCCGTGCCGCCCGTCGAGCACCTTGATCACCTCATTCTTGGTCACCGATGCAATGCAATCAATGTCTTTCGTCACTCGGTAGCCTCCGAATATGTTGATTGCGTAGCCTCCGAAAATTCCAAAGGCTATATTACGTTCACTGAACGCTCGATTTAGGGCTATGGCGGCGTCATTGAGGCGGTCCTGGAATCATGGCTGCGATTGGACAAGCAGATATTCTTTTCTAGTGATGGGAAAAGAAGATTCTGGTGATGATTGCGAGATTTTCCGGCCCAACACTTTTGTGGCTTTGGTGCGTGGACACAACCAGCGCTTATAACTTCTGTGTGCAGCCTCATTGGCAGGCAGCAGTAATAGAGCAATGCAGCGATGCGGAGTAATAACTCCTCCAGCTAAGCTTCCTAGCCATGCGACCGTGCAACGAGACCGCATTGTACAAAACGTTTCTGCCTCACAGTAAAGTGAACGCGGGTTAAATAAAGTAGTAGCAGCTGCCTCCCTAATTTCTGCCGCAGAGAGTATGCAGCGACGTTGAAGAGCTTAGATCAATCGGTCGATCGGACCAACTGCAAACAAAGTGCCTGCCACGACATTGCTCCCAATATATTAACTGAATGAGTACTGAGCATCAAATGTATCCGACAATTGATCTCACATGCGCCGCTTCTGTTTCGTCACGAATGAAGCATGTGACCTGATTATCCGAGAAGTAGTCAATTCTGGACTGTTTGCCATTTATCAGTCCAGTAATCATGTCGCGTACTGCTTGTGGGTAGTCTGCGAGCTGCGAATCTACCCAGCTTTCATCCAGGTTCATCCCGTCGACCAGTTGTTCAACAGCAATCATGGCATTATCATCTTGCGTCAAGATAAATTTGGTGGCCAAGCCGGCCAAGAATGGGGCCAGTCGAGGCAGTGGCAGAGTCGCTATCTCTTCCAAAGGTACATCGGCGATTTCTTTGCTAAAGCTCCCGTCTACGCCTCGAGATTGTAAAGTCTTTTGCTCGAGAGGCTCCAACCCATAGACATTGGCCGTGAAGATGATGATAGATCGCTGTTTGCCTTCCAACAACGTTGTGATCAAGCGGGGGAAGCCCCGTTTGTACTCTGTATAGTTGTTGATCGCTTCTTTTGTATCAAAGGGCTGAAAAAAGCCAGACAGACATAGCATGGAGGCCGCGATAATAGAGCTTCCCTTTGGGACACATACTTCCAAGTCCTATTCCACCTTGTTAATGAGATATCATAGATAGACGATTTACGCACATAACAAACCCGCGGAACGTTATAATAGTTCAATGCGAGCTCCCCGATGATGCATAATGGAATCCCGTATTCCCCGAGGATACGGCTCACGACCGTTGCGAGCGTCATGGAGAGCTGCCCCATGGGATGTCAGGTAACTTCTTGTCCTGCTTGCGCTTTGCACCAGCCCAGCCGCCTCCTGTCAAAACCGTCCGGACCCACACCCGTCACTAGCACGTGCCGTCCAGCAGCTATTATTACAGTACAGGTTCGACCTTGCGATTCAGAGCTCCGACTGTCACAACTATCCCGCAGACAGAATGAAGTCTTTTTTCTCAAGGCTTCTGCGCCGATCGTGGTACAATCGAATACAGGTACTCTCTGATTTGCATCTCGAAATCGGTCAGCAATACGCGTCCTTTACTTTTCCAAGCATCGCCCCCTATCTGCTTCTAGCTGGTGATATCGGGCGCCTGGTCGATTACGATAACTATCTGGCATTTCTCCAAGCCCAAACATCACGTTTCGAAGCCGTCTTCCTTGTTTTAGGCAACCACGAATTCTATGGCATGACCTATCATGATGCACTGGATACAGCACGACGTCTCACCAATGAACCTTGTCTGGCCCGACGACTTGTCCTCCTAGACAAAACGCGCTGGGATAGCCCACACTCTAACCTGTCTATTCTTGGCTGTACATTGTGGTCCTTTATACCAGATGACAAAATCAGCGTCGTGCAAGCTAGAGTGAAAGATTTCAAGAAAATTAGCGATTGGACTCCTGCCATGCACAACAGCGTCCATGCTGAAGAGGCTGCATGGCTCCGCGAGGAAGTCGCCAACCTGGCAGCAGCTCAACTGCAGAACCCTAGAAACTTACTTGTTGTCACACACCATGCGCCGTGCCTCGAGGGAACTTCGCACCCCGACCACGCAGATAACCCGTGGTCCTCGGCGTTTGCCACCGACATGTTGGTGTCGGGGGACTGGAGCATTGTCAAGACCTGGGTATTTGGCCACACACATTACTCGACGGATGTATCGCGCAAAGGCGTGCGAATTGTTGCAAATCAGCGTGGCTATGTCATGCCACTGTCTTCGGATCCCCGCCGGAGCAAAAGACACGAGAGCAAATACTTTGATCTTGCCAAAGTGATTACCAATTAACACAATATCACCCCCCGCACAAGGCTGTGACCACTGCCACACCCGCCGTGTCTGAGTGCTTGAGTACACACCTCTCTTCAGTGAACTGTTACAATTCAGAAAGACACTTGTGCCAGTGCAATTGTCTAGTGGCTAAACTGAGTGAGTCTAGCCCCCCAACGAAGCGAGTTGGTCGTGTAATCAGTCCAGTTAAAGGTCCACGCTATTGAGTATCGCTTTATCAGTTAAGTAAGACCCGCCACTCAGTTGAACTACTAGCTGAACAGTATTTGATATATTGTCTAGCGCGTCTTAGCCAAAACTCTAACAGTAGGATCTCAATACAAGCCCCGTACAATCCCTACCTCGCTATCACTGTGTTCTTTTTCCTTACTACGAATGCAGAACAAAGGCATTGTCCCATCCTTTTCCCTTTTGTGTCTCTGCCTCTAAACTCTGATCCCCATCGATTTACTCATTCCTCACCAATCCATGCAACCTTGCCTTTCCGAAGCCATGTTCTTTCAACTCCCAATAGCCTCCACAGCATCCGCTCATGAACTACCCCCACGAGAACTGCCATCACTCTAGTTCATATTTCGCCGCCTACTGATCTGTACGAGTAGAACAGAACAAGTTCAACGCTAATCATTTCATCTTGCCTTTTCCGGCTCTTTGCTGACCATAGTGTTGGCGTAAGACGGGAGGGCTGACGAAGCGGAGCCATGTTGCACGGGATGGTAGGCTCCGAGGGCATAATTGATCAAATGGTCATGTGTAAGATGGGATGAAAATGATAAGACGCCGGAAAAGGAAATGCTGGGTTTGACGAAGATATAAAAGACAAAACCCAGCCTCCGGAACGGTAATATGTGACCAGCCAACCTTTGCTGACCGTTTGCTCGCCGTCGTCTACGGCAAATCCTTGATACCGTCTCCGTTCTTCGTTTCTTCTTGTTAATGATCTCGTCCCGCGATGCCCTCAAATTGGTCACTCTTCACCACCGCGCTGGCCGTCGCCGCCGCGCTGGGCAGCACGGCTCAAGCACAGCTTTTCACCGTCAACTGTTCCCCGCTGACGATTCAGCGCGGCGATCCCATCGTCTCGCCGGGCCAGATCTCACCGCACGTCCACGTCGTCACTGGCGGCACTGCCTTTCAGCAGACGCAGAGCAACGAGCAGGCGCGCAGCGCACGCGCAACGACCTGCGACAAGCTCCTCGACAAGAGCAACTACTGGCAGCCGCAGCTGTACCACCAGCGGCACGATGGGCGCTTTGAGCTGGTCACTATGCAGGGCAATGTGAGTCTGAGAGGAACATTAAGAAAGCTATCTTGTGTGTCTCTATTCGTCGAAGCACCCGTTCGTAGTTGCCGTCTTAACTCCGGATGCTGACCGCAACACTCTAGGCGGCCTACTACATCAAACGTGCATGCGACTATGCGCCGGGCAGACAAAACTGCAACAATGCAACTGCGCCAATTGCTCCCCCGCGAGGTCTTCGAATGATTACTGGAGACCCTTTCCTCAGGTACGTAGGAGGCAGTGGTGCATGAATCGCTCTTGGTCCAATTCGGGATGGCCGTTCTGCCCGAGTGAGCAAGGCCATTGGCACATTGTAAATATACCCCGGGTACGGACTACTAATCCTACATCTCACTCAGAACATACGATCAATCTAGCCTCGCACAGCAAGCCATTTCCCATGTCTGTCTCGAAGGACCCAACGAGGGTGAGACGCCTCACATGAGCCGCCTGCCGTGTGGCCGCATGCGTGCCGAGACCTTCTTCCCTTCCTGCTGGGACGGCCAAAACCTCGACAGCAGCAATCATAAAGATCATGTAAGTTGCGAATCCATTTCCTCGCCATTTCCGGCGCATACTTCCCTCCCCCGATCTACAGCCGGTATGCTGACCCCCGTGTTACAAAGATGGCGTTTCCCGCCGTCGGCGCATACAACTTTGGCGTGTGCCCGGCGTCGCACCCAACGGCAATCCTGTCCGTGTTCTACGAGTTCTTCTACGACACGGGCTCCCTCGAGGACCCAAACCGCCTCGTGTGGGCCATGGGCGACCCGACAGGCTACGGCCTCCACGGCGACTACCTGCAGGGCTGGACCGACCAGCAGCGCCTCGACGACGCCATCGCCACCTGCACAGGGCCCCGAGGCGTCGATGATGGCGCCTGCAGCCTCAATGTCGGCCCGGACGGGAGCCCCGGCCACTCGAGCAAGCAGCAGGTTGAGGTGCCCGAGCCTGCGGAGCCGGTCGGCAAGCAGGGGCCGCTGGACAGGCTTCCTGGCAACAACCCGGTTACCGGGGACCCGGTATGAAGGGGGCGAAGCAGATGGGAAAGGTAGACATGGCAGGGGCAGGGGCGCGCGTGATGCTAAGCGACGGCAGAGAATTATTCTCGGGATGCTCCAGTTGGCCAAAGCGATGCGGCGGACATGTTGTTGTGCGACACTGAATACTGCGATTTCTGCACTTGTGGAATATTTTCGTTGCTTGTGCTTGTTATTCATCATCACCATAGACAACATGTACATATCGTGAGAATGATTAGACCACTACAAAGCAAGTAACATGCAAAGCAAGTAACCTGGCAAGCCTTGATGCAGGCGACGCAAAAAAAAACAAAAAAAATCAGCCCCCTTTCCCCTTTTGCAGAAGCTTCATCGACATGTTGATTGACGTGTTGATCGACGCCAGACACGCGGGGAAAAGAGAGATCTGGGCTGATTCTGTGATCTTCCACGAAATTCGTCATCCTTCTCGGTGGCGTATACATGAGACTTGTTATCAAAGTCACATTGTCATGAAAAGAAGCGGAAGATCCCATGCAAAGGGAAGTTTCCAGTAATATAAAAAGTCTCACTTCCAAGATGACAAGGTGCAGCGCAAAGACTGCTGTGCGTAGTGTCATGGGGCTTAAATCTGTGAGCAGATGGCTATTGTTGGGAATTTGGATCAAAAACCGTCACGGTTTTCGTCCATTTAGTCCCTTGCGACCTCTTCTTTCTCTATTCGAAGTTGTAAATGATGGTCGCCGTCAAGCAAGGCATGTCTGTGCGCAAAGCCCTACATCATGCATATGAAATGAGATGCGTCCAAGACATTGTCTAATACGCGACCTTTACTCCGTATCCGTACGGCATACAAAGTAAAAAGTATAGATCCGTATACATTAGCATTCTGCTGGGATTATTTCGGCGAATTGAAGAGACGGGTAGGGCTGGCACCGCCGTGATGCTTGCACTTTCAGCATACGGAATTCTAGGTGCAATTTTATATTGTCAAAGTACTGAGGTGAATGTCCGTTCAACGATAAGTGATTGCTGATACATAAAGCCCACCAAAACACATTGAGCTGAAAGATAATCTTTGTACGCCGTACTCCTGACGCACCCAAAAGTACCTGCTGTCATTCTCAAGCTCACATTGACGCGGGAGACATCACTTGATCAGTGCATGGCAATTTCCACCTACGTGGTGCGCTTGCAGATCCGACTGAAATCTGTCGTGAATGTCTCACGAGCCGTGTCGGAACGAACAATGCCGACCCGAGGCTGGAGTGTTTGACCCGTGAGCTGCGTCCATGAAAAGAACAAAATGAATTGGTCTCAGAGGCGGCAATGACGAAGAAAATCTTCCGAACCGAGCAGTGGAGAAGAGCTGAACAAAAGTTGGCGAATAGCAAAGGAGACGGGGGATGATTCGGACGAGTATATATCTTAATGCTGAGAACCCTTCTACATTGCTTCCAGATCTCTTGCCTTTATTGCTCTGCATTGCTCATTGTATCACTTACCCCAATACGCTCACTTGCTGCCGCATCACTCTTACGAGCCTTTCCTGCACTTCCTTCATCTTTTTATATACCCAAGAGATTTCACCTTTCAGAGCCGCAAAAAGCCTTTCAAAGAGTAAATATGAAGGTCTCGACTACCAGCTTCCTGCTCGCCAGCTTATACGGCTCGGCCCTGGCTGCCCCTGTCGGCGGCGACCTCGGCGGCGCCCTCGAGAGCGTGACTAATACGGCCGGCCTCGGTAACGTCGCCCCCGGAAACATTGTCCCCGGAAATGACCTCGCAAAGGGCCTCACCGGTGCTGTCGGCCAGCCTGGCAGCATCGTCGGCCGCGATGCCCCGATCGGCGGTGACATCATCGGCGACGTCCTCCAGCCCGTGACTGGTAAGGACGGCCTCGGCAACGTCATCCCCGGAAACGCTATCCCTGGAAACATTGCCCCCGTCAACGACCTCACCAAGGGCCTCACCGGTGCTGTCGGCCAGCCTGGCAGCATTGTCGGCCGCGACGGCGAGCAGAAAGCCAGCGTTGTCCTTCCCAATTACAATTTCCTCGCCACTGATCACACGGCCGACGTCAATATCAAAGCCGACGCTACCAATGTTCATGCCCGCAACTTGGACGCCAAGGCCAAGGGCATCGTGGGCCAGCTCGCCGAAGCCGACGCCAAGGCCAAGGCCCAACCCTTTGCCAAGCCACCTGCCGATGTTAATCTTGATGCCGTGATTGACACTCGCCACGCCGAAATGACGGTCGAATCTGTCGCTCACCAAACTGTTGACACTGTCGCTGAGCAGACTACTGGCGCTGTCGCTGACCAGACTACTGGCGCTGCCGCCGAACAGACTGTTGATGCCCGCAACCTGGATGCCAACGCCAAGGGCGTCGTGGGCCAGCTCGTCGACAACGATGTCCATGCCAAGGTCCACCCCTTCGCTAACTCGCCTGTTGATGTGAACGCTAATGCCCTGGTCGACGCTCACAACGTAGACGCCAAGCCCACTGGTGCCGTTGACAAAGTCACCGACGCCGTGGCCTCTGGCGTCACTCTGGCCGACAACATTGCCGAGCCCACTGGCAGTGTCGATTCTGCCCTCCAGGATACTACCGGCGTTGACGTGACCGGGGGGAAGGTCCTGCCTACTGGCAACCTGTAAGCGTTTGTGAGTTCGGTCAAGGGCGTGAGAGAGTTTGCGCACGACGGGCGATTCGCGCGCAAGGGGCATGCCTAGACGAGATAAACAGTATGAGGTTGTCAAGTTATCTTCGAATGGCGTTTCCCTCTTTTGTGAGAGAAAGAGGGACATATAATCTGTTGGGACATGACAATTTGTACACTTCCTATCGGGGGACGAGAATTAGATTGATGTTGGATCGACTTGTTATTGAAACGTTTGGAGTTCTTTTTTTTTTTTTTTTTTTTTACACTCTGCTTCTTATGACTACACTACTTTTTAACGTAATTTGTATAAATTTGAATGTGAAGAATGGGGAGGATAAATACAAGTTCAATGCTCGTTCAATGTTTAATGGTGCAAAAATACAGGGGGGCTCAGCCACAACTGGCAAGGCCAGCGTGTACTTGAAGAGAGGAAGGATTGCACGAGGCCATGACGTGAGTCACCTCGAGCAGAAACCAAGAGATTTCTACGTGTTTTTTAGGCTCGAATGAGATGAAGAGGAGCTGCTCCGCCACGACAAGGCTGTTTCTAACATTGTATTTACGTGGCCGTTGATCTTCAAGTTACTGCTGTAACTAGTTACGGATAATCATTCCTAATAGGTAATGGTTATAATTAGCGGCCTGCTAATAAATAAGGAAGGAGGTTTGGTTCCCCTCATTGTACTTCCGAGACACATGCCCCCAGGCCGCCCGCCGATTAGTGGCTCAGCCCGCGCCCACACACCGCCCAAAAGCTACCCCTCCAATTGAACCCCTCCTCTCGTTATCTCCTGAACTAGAACATCAACTCTGTCTTTTTGAGCTCCTCCCTCCTCCTCCTCCTCCTCCTCCCCAACCTGTTCCTGATAGACGAGGAGCGACGACTCTTACAAGTACGAAGCCATTCCCTTGGCCAACTTTTGCTTCCCCGCTCTCGAACCCATCAATTGGGCGCTGACCACTACAGACATAAACGAACCCCTCCATCCTGCTTCCTATCCCCCCCTCCGCGCAACAACATCATGGCCGACGCAACTTACCCCCCCCTCGAGGAGCGTCCTCTCAAAGACACTATCTGCCTCTTCGATGTCGACGGCACCTTGACGCCCGCCCGCCTCGTACGCGTTCCCCCCCCATCACCTCTCCCTTTCCAGCTAACCACCACCACCACCACCACCCCCTTTAGGGCGCCTCCCCCGAGATCCTCGCCATCCTGCGCGCCCTGCGCCAAAAGTGCGCCATTGGCTTCGTCGGCGGCTCCGACCTCGCCAAGCAGGAGGAGCAGCTCGGCGGGCCCGCCGGCGCACCCGTCACGACGCTCTTTGACTTTTGCTTTTCGGAAAACGGCCTCACCGCGTTCAAGCTCGGCCAGGCGCTGCCGTCCAACAGCTTCATCCAGTGGATCGGCGAGGCCCGCTACCAGGAGCTCGCCGACTTTGTGCTGCGCTACGTCGCCGACCTGCAGCTTCCCGTCAAGCGCGGCACCTTTATCGAGTTTCGCAACGGCATGATCAATATCAGCCCCATCGGCCGCAACGCGAGCAACAAGGAGCGCAACGAATTCGAGCAATATGATAAAGAGGCCAAGGTGCGCGAAAAGTTTGTGGAGGTGCTCAAGGAAAAGTTTGGGCACTGGGGCCTGACGTACGTTTTTTTTTTTTTTTTTCCCCTTCCTCGTTCCATCTTCCCTCTTCGTCTCTCACCTCTCTCTCGGGACATGACTGATTGCTAAACTGGTCAAATGAAACAATATAGATTCTCCATTGGAGGCCAAATCTCGTTTGACGTCTTCCCTACCGGCTGGGACAAGACGTACTGCCTCAAGCACCTCGAAGACGAGGCCAAGAAGCCCAACGGCATCGCCTACAAGAACATTCACTTTTTCGGCGACAAGACGGCCAAGGGCGGCAACGACTACGAAATCTACGAGGACCCCCGCACCATCGGTCACTCGGTCAAGGGCCCCGAGGACACCATGACCATTCTCAAGGAGGTCTTTGGCCTGTAAGCAGAAACAAGAGAAAAAAAAGTGCACGACGAGCAAACGTGCAAAAGAAACACTCAAGCTCGTGTCGAGGATGGAGAGAGCCAGCTCAGAACGGTGACTGAGAAATGGCACCAGACATCAAACGACAACATATAAATCATGACAACATATACAACCTAATTCATAACTTGAAAGCCACGTTGTGGTGATTTGCAACATGCTTCTCATCTAACTCGATGCTTGCTCCTACTTATCAACCATGATCCAAGACGTCATCAAGAAATTACATAAAGAGTAGCCAATAGCAACATCATTTCCCCACTCAGCTTACACAGCGCACAAATCCCAAGGTATATATATCCAAAACTGCCATTGCCATCTCAACCATCACAAGACGCCAGACCACTATCCAACATGTTCTCGCCCTTGAAAGCTATCTGCCAAACTCGAGATGCGGGATAATTACCGGCCCATACTTGGTTGTGCTTGAAAAAGGCCCATCGCCTTGCACCACAAAATCAACTGCGAGGCTCAGCTTGCTCAAGCCCTGCTGCGAGCTGTTGATGCTGGGGCTGGGGCTAAACGGCGGCTGGTTTTGGGCCATAACTGCCTCGTGGTCATACGCCACAAAAGCCGCATAGTTTCTGCGTCCCATGAGCTTCTTGAGTTCCCGCACACCTCCACTGGCATCATTGTGGAAAATCTCCATCATGTCTTCCTTGGTGTCGGACACCTCATGGGTAGACTTTTGGCCGTTTTGCGGCACATAGAGTGTCTTTTGATTGTGCAGGAGCTTCAAGACATAGCCACCCTGAGGCGCCGCTACGATTGGCGAGGTGATAATCTGGTACATGGTCTTGTGGTCGCCAGGGTGGGTGGGATCATGGACAAGGCCAGCGCCAGCCGAATTGACGTCTAATTTGATGTTAGTTTTATCAACAGTCTGACAGAGTCGCGACAAGCTTACCGCCGGAAAGGAATGTCATGCGAATCCCTTTTTGTTGTGCAATTCCTTGCAAAGTACGTATAAAGTATGTGCGCTCCAAGTCCTTGGTCTCGTGAGTCCATAAATCTTTGAGTACCTCTTGAATATCAAGCTCCCCAAACTGGTTGAGCACATTGCCCATGAGTCCAGTTTTCCCTACGGCCTTCTTAACTTGAGAAAAGCCCTGGGCCACAACTTCTTTGCCGCCAACGACACCTGCGACTGAGCTCGTAACCTTGCCGAGTATGTTGTACGTCGTGTTCACAGCCTTCTTGCCAGCCGCGACAGTGTTGGCAATACTTTCCACAGCCTCCAGTCGAGGGAAAATGAGTGGCACTGATACCATCCACACCACGTGTTGAACGCTTGGAGGGAGAGTCGCCACCTTTGGAAAGATGCCTTGATATGTAGGTCCGGCCATTACTCGCGCCTGTGTTCGCTCAGATCGACAGTCGGTGCCGACTACGGCCATACCAGGGCCTAGATATTTGACAAAGTGCCATCCAGTTCCAGTGACGGTGAAGATGTCGTGATCGGTTCTGACGTTTCTCATAATGTCCACCGTCGTATGGTGCTGGAACAACAGATACATCTCAGTGGCAATGCGGCCAATATTCTTGAAAATCGGAGATGCTTGCATGTACTGAGGATATGACCCGTATCCATCAAAGATGTCGTGATCGTCGATTTGCAGGACATGAGGTATTTGGGCAAACGCCTCACGTAAAAATGGTTGATCAAAATGGCTGGTGTAGTAGTGGAAGTAGGCGTGTGATACATCCTCTTCATGGCGCGCCGTCCATTGAGTGCCCTTTTTGTTATCGCGTCCGCTCATGGCGAGCCACTGCTTCAACAGAGGTACTTCTTTCCACAGGCGATCTCCGTAGATCTGATCTCCAAGACCCAGCTGGGCGTGAAAACCTCCACAATCAACATTCTTCTGCAAAACATCTTTCCACATGAAGCCAATACCGCCGAGCTTGGCGCGCTCGTTTTGTGATGTACTGGCAGCAAAGTCATTTCCAGAATGGGCAATAAATCTCCAACCAGATTCATATCGGCCTGCGACGACAAATTCGTATCGAGTGCATCCAAGATGCGAAGTAACAGCATATGTCCATCTTTCTGTGCCCCCTTCACCCATCTGAAGATCGATATCGTATTTGTAGAATCCCCATCTTTGGTGCGTGTAAATCGCATGGGGTTCCAGCTGCCTCGGGCTCGGAGACAGATCAGCACTGAGGTGGATGTGAATGGTGGGCGGCTGAGGCGAATCCGTAACAATCATTATACTGCCGTACCAAATTCCACGTTCAACGTCCATATTGACGTAGCGTAGATATGGCCCAAAGTAGACACCATTCGTGGGCTGAACACGGTACATGTCTACACCTGCAGAGGGAGGGGGGCCAGAGAATCCAGCAGTTGGAGCTTGGGAAACAGCCACACTCATTATGCTCTCAGCATACCCAGGAGTATGAGGAGGAAACATGGGCGAGGCTAGGCTTTGTTTACCAAATACCGGGGACATTAGCGGATTCCCGTACGTTGAAGCAGTAGGGGACAGCGGCGTCTGTTCAGGCTGTATCGGGTTTGGGCCCTTTGGGAACTCCCATTGTGTAGCCTGAGTTGCAACATGAATGTAATAATATTGGCCGGAGTTCTGATCGAGATGAGCGATCCAACCTTCCGGAAGCGGTGGCGGGGAAGCCGGCCCGGGACCTATCGATAGAGTCTCGGCCGAGGCAGCGCTCTGCTGGGGCGCGGCAGGCTGCTCTGGTCGGGGGTCATTAGCAAAAGCAGGGTGCCCTGGATGTTGAAGAGCAGGAGAAAGTAGCGGCGCGCCGTTGGCGGGACCTGCCGCGGTCGCGGCCGCGGGAGCTGAGCTTGAAGCAGCTGGCTTTTGGCTCGAAGTGGCAGCACCATTTGGCTGAGCTGGTTGCGTCGCGGCTGCTACTGGATGAGCAGTACCATTTTGTTGCGGCCGGCGCTTATCGTTTGGGTATGACGAATTCCCTCCCGGATTGACGCTGGAGTAGGCAGGTGGTGGTGAGCTCGTGCCGAGACGTTGGAAGTCTTGCTCCAGCACGCTGACCTGGACTTGTTGATTGCTCTGGTTGCTTTGACTTTGGGCTGGCTGTTGAGGCGGAGCTGTTTGGGTTCTCTGCGGCTGGGGGCTCGATATGACATTGGACCCTTGATAGACTGTGGGAGGGCCCGAGGGTGCCTGGTCGGGTGTCTCTGTCGGTGTCCATGGTCGCTGGGCTTGAGGCATCTGATTCCCGTACTGGGCGAGTCTCTGAGCAGCCGCAGCGCTTTGAGCTTGGCTAGCTTGCAGGCTTGTGAGGGTGGCGGTGCCAGAGATGCCCGAGGCAGCATAGCGAGCCTCGATGCCTCCACCAGGAATGACACCGGGCTCGACAATAGGGGTCTCAGGAGGTGGAGGAGAGCCGCGCGTGGCTTTGGTAGTCGAATTTGAGGCGGTTGAAGGAAATCGATTGACGGGTTGCTCAGACTGCTTCAGATGATTGACAGCTGCGGGCTGTGGTATTGAAGTAGGAGCTGAAGATGATGAACCAGCAGCTCCAGGTGGTGGATAGTAAGTCTTATTTTGGTAGTTGGAATATACTGAAGGCTGTGCCGCCGGACGGGCTTGTTCTTTGAGCGGGCGAGCGAACAAACCTTGGTCAGAGTCGGGACTGGAAGGCGAGTTGATAACCTTTGGAGCAGCGCCGCGGCGTTGGGCGAGACCGGGCCTTTGGCTGAGGGTACTGGTATCTAGACGAGGAGCAGTGTCGAGATATGCTGCTCCGTATGGCTTTGCAGGAGTCGGTCTGTGGATCTCGTCGTCATCTGGAAACGGCAGAGGCGCGGCAGAGCTGGAGGCACCCGGTGGTAGAGGAAAGGCAGGCTTGCTGTTCGAGGCGGACGAAGCGCGCGAGTTTGGCTGAGGACTGTTGGGCTTGAAGATGCGCAGAGGCTCGATGGTCGGGCTGTCGCCTCCATCGTTCGGGGCAGGTCTGCTGAGGAACATTTCCTGGTCCGGAATGCTACGGCTCGCCGTCTCCATTGTTCCGACGTTATCTTTGGTTTAGAGCTTGTACGGTGTAAAGTTGGGGTAGCAGCGCAGAGGGCGGCGCACAGCGCAGCGCGATCTACACGGTGAGCTGGACAATCGTAGCCGTGGCTAGGAACCGGAAAGACAAGTGCGCGGGCACCGAAAGTCAGAGCCGCGCAGCAGGTCGCCTCTTTTCCGTGATACAAAAAAAATGCGAGCTATCGTGTGTAGCGGGGTGACTCCAACGGGCCGCAGAACAGGCCGCCTCGCGGGCGCTAGGATCTGGATGTGTCGGCTGCGTATGAGAAGAGAGATGTATAAAAGGATGGAGGAATTTCGGTATAGAAGTGTCGGTATGAAGCGAGATAGCAAGAGAGACAGCAGACGGTAGCTGTTGTGAGAAAAGAAATATGGTGCAGAGGGGGACAGAAAAGAAGTCGAGGTAGGAGGGCTGGGCGGGTTTACGTATGGAGGCCGAGCTGGGACATACACTTGGCTTGAGGGGAAGTAGCATTGGGGCTTGGACAGGGCCAGGGCAGACAAAGGAGTGTGAGATTGAGCTGCAGCAAAATTAGCACAGTGATGAATTGCTAGGTAGCCAGAGGGGATATGTCTAGAGGAGTGCCTTGCTTCTCCTGTCTGCAGCAAGTGACCGACGAACCCCTCACGACCACATTTCAAAACACCAGTAGGATCTCGGGACAGGGGGGGTGGGGGGCTCGCTCCGTTGGGACCTTGCGCGGGCGGCAACGATACAAAAGCCAAAGCCCACTAATAAAGTAACAACCAGTCAAGAGGGAGAAATCAACCACATAATGAGCAGCTGCAGCCACCAACAGCGTCGGCAACTCGCTGCGCCCCAGCATCTGCAAAGCGAAATACAGTGGTGTGCTTGACTGGCCCAGTGGGTCATCAACACCTAACTGATATTTTGGGGCATTTTCCATCCGTCTCCGGAGCTGCCCCTCTCCGATTGGCCCACAACCCCAAAGACCCACTGTGTAAGCGCCTAACTTTCAACGCTTTGCCTTGTGACTGGATGAGTTGTAAGCGCTCATCTTTGATGCCAAGCCAGCTCCATACTTTGATTATCCTGCTTGTCTGGCCTGGATGCTCAACCCCCCGGAGTAACGATGAGAGTAAAGTTACACAGTTAATCGTATTGGTGTTCACCATCTCACTCCCGTACGCGGGACCGGCCGGCCGTTTGCACGACAGCACATCAACTACCTAGCCACCTACAAACGGAGCACGCAAGCAGCGTCGTGGACATGCTCAACCGAAAATTGAGAAAAAAAGTCACAATTCTTTTTGAAGCTTCTCTGATCAAACACTCCTTCCTCGACACTTTCTGCCTTTTTTTTAGCTTTGACTCATACATCGCCAACCCGGTGCAAGACCGCATCGGTCACTCCTGTTGAGTCAGGCCGTCACTAAACACTGGGTGTTGTTTACGGCATCACAGTGCCGCCCCACGAAGTCTGTCATGATGAATAATAGTTGATACAATTTTTTGCATAGTATCGAATTATGAATGCTTCATCTTTCTTGAGGTAGCACATGCTGG